CCAGCCTGTTCCACTGGGCCTTCCCTGTCCCAGGGGTTTGACCAAACCTGCTGACAACCCCATCGAACTCGAAAAAAAAGAGTAAACTTAATTATTGTAGCTAATTGTTCAACCAGTACAACTTTAATTCAGACACTGGGGTTGTAACTGCTGGTTTCACATCCCAGGATGCTCAGAGAACTCTCCTCCCAGGCTGGTGTTTTCCATACTTCACAGAACAGGCCATTCCTATAAAATGATGTGGGGAAAAGCACCCCCAGGAGTTGTGTGACCTGCTGGAATCACCCTGAGAGAAGATTTTCTGAAGTTAAATGTCATTTTTAGCCTGTGCTAAGCAGCAATTAATACTAAATAATACTAACTATTTATAATACTAAATAATACTAAATATTTATAATACTAAATATTTATAAACAGTATTTCTGTTTCCCTCAATGATTCCTGTGCTCTGGTCTCCCTGAGAATATTTCCTTTTAGATTGTAGGAGCCTTTGGCCAATCCTTGCAATTCCAGCTATGAGAAATATTCCAACATCCAGCAGTGAATCCAGGTGAACTTTTAAACATTTAGGTCAAGAATTTCCCCCAAAGAGCAAAGTGGTCCCTTCCTGGCACGTGATTGTGGCCATCCCAAGGAATCTGCTGTAACCAAGTGTTGCATTAAATATTTTCCTCATTTTTCCTTAACCATTTCTCTCTTTTAGTGCCAATTTCAGCCAGAAGTGCTGACTCTAAGCCAGGCTTTTGCGCAGAGAGGATTTCACACTTGGTTTACTTCAGCTGAGTGGTGAATATATCAGCCCTGAACAGTGAATTCAAAAATTCCCTTTGATTGTTTCTCCTCGAGTCATGTAGCAGTAACCTATATGAAACACTTCAGACTTAAAGGCTTCTATTTTAAAATAACTAAATAGCTTTTTAAACAAAATTATGTGCAGCCTAAAGCAAAAAAAAAAAAAAAATCAAGGGAAAAAGGAATTTTCTTCCCAGGATTCTCCTGTGGTCTGAGGATATCGGGGTGAGAAGGCCCTGTAAGATTCCTCCAAGGGGACTCCTGAATTCTCTGAATATCTCCAGAAAATTACTGAATCATGATACAGTAAATGTCATATTTACTAGTAAATAATAATGTAATGTGTATATTAAATTTATAGTGGAGAACACACCAGGATGTAACAAAACCATCCCAGTGTCTTGGAATGGAAGATTTTGGTACTTGCACAGCAGCTGTTCCTGTAAGTCCTAATATTTCACTCCTTTTGGTCCTTTGTGTGACAATTACAAGAGCAAAACACAGAAAAAAACCTAACTTGTGCCTTTTTAAAAATAAACAGAAATCTTGGAAGAGAGAGGTTTATAAAACACAGTGAAATAGGGTTTGTTTTTGTTCCTGGAGGACACCTGAGATGGCAACAGGGAACCAGGAGGGTGAAAAAAGCAAATGAGAAAGGAGTTAACCAACTGAAAACTTCATTTTATTAACTTTGCTGACATTATTCAGAGCCAGCATTTAATATGCCTTTTGGAGGGAAGTTTTTCTTTAAAAATTCTCCTCCTTGTTATGGAGACACCTTTGATGAGGAAAAGAGTCCCTGGAGCTGGGAAGGAACAGCCAGGGGTGCTCCTCAGGTGAAAACTGGGACAAAACATCCCTTTTCCTTCCCAAGGCTTTCTTCTGTGTCATGAAGATCCACTGTGGGTTTTTTTTCAGGTGAAAATAACAGTAACAGGTGAAAATTAGAGCAGGTAATACAGGACCACTGGCTGGAGGAAAGGGGAAAGATGGGAAGCTGCTCACATCCAGCTTGATTTCAGACACGGTGAATAATTATCTTCTATCAAACCTTCAATAGACAGCTTTTAATCTCCACACTCACATCCCATAATAGTGCTGTGGCCCTCCCTACCCACAGACACGCAGGGCAACATCGCCCGTGGTTTTTGGGTACAGCTTCCTGCAGGAAGGGTGAGCCAACAGCCACAGCCCGGCCCAGGAAGCCCGGAGTGCGAAGCTGTTCCTGCCGGGGCTGGCCCCGAACAGCCCGTGATCATCTCCCGCTGACGGGGCAGGTTTGTTCCAGCAGCTCAGCCGCAGTCCTGCACCCCAGCAGGGAGAGAAACCCCACCCAGAATCAAACTTGTGGGTTGGGATAAACCAGGAATAGCAGGAAGGGTCATCCCTCACGGGAGACTCCCTGGAAAGCCACATCCACGGGAGGCTCTCCCTCAGAACCACAGCAGAACCTGCGGCACTTCTAACAAAATGCAGCCAAAGTTTGAAGTCCAAACTTTCCTTTAGAGGCATCTCCTGGTCTTTATTAAGCCCCGGGGAGCTGGAATTACAGGCAAAATTCACCTGGATTGAGGAGAGAAGAGGGAAAGGGGAAAAAAGAAGTGTTTCATTTTCCAGCTTGGGATGGTTGGGAGGGTTTTCTCATCTGTTGTCAAAGAAATGAGTGGTGACTTCAGATCCACCAGAGAGCACGTCACTGCTCACCAACTGGTGTCCTCAATTGCGTCATGCTGGAATCCCATTTGTATGTAGAATAATAATAACTCTTTATTTCAGTAATTTTGGGACACTAAAAGTTTGGAGTGTGGAAATCACTGTAGCTCCAGTTCACCACGGATGTAAAAATGGCCTTTCTCACTTGTAACCATCGTTAACCAAAGTCAAGCAGTTCCTGCTTCAGTGCTTGGAAACTCTTGTGGTAACTGTGTGGAGTAATTGTTTTTTTTAATTATTTTTTTAACATTTAGCGGGAGTTGCTGAACACAGAGGTGGCAAGAGATGTCTTGCTTTAGAAGGCTGATACGTGGAGGAAATAGTTCCGAGTTGCTGTGACCAGAGACTTCCTGCGGGGTGGTGGGGAGGCAAGAGCAGAGTAAATGCTGAGCAGGGGACGTGGGTGCAGGACACAGCAAACCACAGCTCTGCGTCACCAGAACACCCCAGCTGCAGGTTCCTTAGCCAGGAAACAGGGGCCCCACCCTGGGGTGTCCTGAGAACATGTGGCAGTGCTGAGCACAGGGGGACAGTTGGATTTGGGAGCTTTTCCAACCCTAACGATCCTGGGATTGTTTTCTTGACACGTAGATGGAACAAACACAGTAGGGTTTGCAGTGGCCAACGTGACAGGGTTGATCAGCAGGCAGTGCCCCCAGCTGTGCTTCCCTCTGGTCAAAACCTCCTCACAGAGGGAGCTTCTCAGGCTGGGGAAGCAGCACTGGGAGGGTCACATTACAATTGACTGTAATAACTGTTATAATATTTGACTAATAATTGACTGTTAATATTGGACTAATAATTGACTGTTAATATTTGACTGATAATTGACTGTTAGGCCCTTTGCAGGGTCTAAAGGGGCTCCAAGAGAGCTGGAGAGGGACTGGGGACAAGGCCTGGAGGGACAGCACACAGGGAATGGCTTCCCAGTGCCAGAGGGCAGGGTTGGATGGGATGTGAGGGTGGGGAGGCCCTGGCCCAGGGGTCCCAGAGAAGCTGTGGCTGCCCCTGTGACATAAAGGGACCTGGAGGTCAGAGAGGGTTCTGCTCCTCCTGCACTGAACTCAGCCAGGAATGGCCTGGGAACCAACTGGCTGCTCCACCAGATCCACACCATGATGTTCACCCCCAGCTGGTTCCTCAGACAACTGAGGTGCTGCTGTGGTACTTTCTGTGCAGGCTCAGTCCCTCGGGTGTCCTTGAGAGCAGGCACATTTCCCCTTACAGCAGCTCTAGCCCATTGCAGATCCTGTTTTCCCGCCTCTTTCTCCAAGATTCCAGCCCTTTTACATTCCCTGCCATGTCTCCACAGCCCACACCAGTTGAGACACATCCTCTCCCCTCCCAGTGACTGCTGTACTTCTGCAGAGGGTGGAAGCACCTGAAGAGAGGCACAGCCTCCCTCAGCACGCTGCTCTAGGAGTTACTGAGGGCTGGGAGAAACACCTGGAGGAAACAGAGCAAAAGGGCCCTGAACTGTGACACAGCCTGTGGTTCCCAGCCAGGGTGTCTGGGGTAAGAACGATCAGAGGGAGGGGAGACCTGGGGTGCTGCATCTCTGAGCAGTGTCACAGCAGCACTGACACCTCCTCAGCTCCATCTCCAGGATTCCCAGCCAAAGGAGGGCTATGGAGCTTCCCTGGTCTGCCCAAACGGAGCCACTTCCTCCTGATGTCACACGGATGCACAGGTGCCACCTCATGGCTCTGTGCTGACCCACACAGGGAGCGCTGGGAGACCTCAGACACAGAATCCCAGGATCACTGAGGTTGGAAAAGACCTTCAGGATAAAAGAGCCCACCCTGTGCCCCATCCCCACCTTGTCCCCCAGCCCAGAGCACTGAGTGCCACGGCCAGGCCTGCCTGGGACACCTCCAGGGCTGGGCACTCCAAACCTCCCTGGTTTGGCCCCTGCCAAGGCCTCACCACCCTTTCCAGCAACAAATTCCTCCTCAGGGCCAACCTGAGCCTCCCCTGGCACAGCTTGAGGCCGTTTCCCCTTGTCCTGTCCCTGTTCCCTGGGAACAGAGCCCGACCCCCCCGGCTCCCCCCTCCTGGCAGGGACTTGCAGAGCCAGAAGGTCCCCCCTGAGCCTCCTTTTCTCCAGGATGAGCCCCCTCAGCCGCTCCTGCTGCTCCAGACCCTTCCCAGCTCCCTCAGCCGCTCCCCACAGGACTCTCCAGCTCGGCTGCTGTTCCAGAAGTCACCGTTAACATTGTCAATCCTGCCCTGAATTCCACTTTCCCAGCTCAGGGTCAGACAGGTACTGGGAAGCACATCCTATCCATAGGGAATGGCAGCAGTGGGAGTAAAGCAGACCCCAGCACAAGCCCTGCCCAGGCCCAACCCTCCCATGCACACAGACCCTGCAAAGGGCCACAGCTGAAGGGACAATGGCCCAGTGTCCCCTGCCTTTGTCCCCCTGAGCTCGAGCTGCGATCAAAGTGCCTTTGTACGGACACGACAGCGACCAAGGGAAACCTCTGAGCCGACACTGCCGAGGTCAGGACGAGTTTAATCACAGACCAGCCTCTTCTGCACCAGGGAGCTTGGCCCTCATTTCTTCTTCCCCTTCTTTTTGGGAGAGCCAGGCCAGGGGTAGCCCCGGAACTCGAGGAAGGCAGCAGCGTTGTGGGCGATGTAGTAGGCGTTGAGCATGGCGGGGGGGCTGAGCACGTCCACCTCCTTCACCGCCGCCTTCTCCTTCTTCTTGGACTTCCCTTTGCCCCCCTTGGGCTTGGCTTTGTCTGCCTGCAGAGGGAAAACCACCACAAACCACTCAGGTGGGGGGCTTTATTGTCTCCCTCCTGGGGAGGGCATCCTGGGCTGGGAGAGCTGGGGGGGTTCCCTTGGAGAAGAGAAGGGTCCAGGGAGACCTGAGAGCCCCTTGCAGGGCCTAAAGGGGCTCCAGGAGAGCTGGAGAGGGACTGGGGACAAGGCCTGGAGGGACAGGACACAGGGAATGGCTTCCCAGTGCCAGAGGGCAGGGTTGGATGGGATGTGAGGGTGGGCAGGCCCTGGCCCAGGTTGACCAGAGAAGCTGTGGCTGCCCCTGGATCCCTGGAAGTGTCCCAGGGCAGCTTGGAGCACCCTGGGCTAGTGGAAGGTGTCCCTGCCCATGGCAGGAGGTGGGACTGGATGATCTCTGAGGTCCCTTCCAACCCAAACCATTCCATGACTTTTCAATCCCAAGACATCCCAGAAGAGCTGTTTTGTTGCATCCCAGCCCTGGCTCTCAGCTGGGCATTAACTGGGGAAGGCTGTGTGTGAAATGTTATTTTTTGTGCTATCAGTTCTAAAACATCCTTTTATGGCTCAAAGGAGACAAACTTTTGTGTTCTAGGCATAAAAACACAGCGTGAAAGAACATATAATAAATATAATATAATGGCCAGTCTTCGCGAGCGAAGATCCGGGGAAGGTCTTTCCACCTTCCAGCCTGTGCATTGGATTTTTTAGGTGAGACACAGTGTGCGCGGAACTGAGCCCACCCTTTAATCCTAAGGTTCATCTGCCGGGGCCAAGCGAGCTTGGACGGTGGCAGCGAGGTCCTTAGGACGTAGGTGGGTTGCCTTTAAGGCTAACGAGCCCCATCTGCCCGGGAGTGGCCCTGACCGGGAATCGAACCCGGGTCTCCACGGTGATAGCACAGCGCCTTTACCACTAGACCACCAGGGGCTCCGAAAGAACATATACAGGTAAAGAAACTTGTAGGTTCCTGGCTGGAATTTGGCCTGTAGCTGATCTTTCAACATAAAAAGGGCTTTATACAACATGTGCAAAGTTTTACAGCCTGCAGCCAGGAGCAGCAAAAGCCAAAAATCAGAATTTGGTGCATAATTGCTGACAAAGTGAATCTGGGCAGGTCAGTGTCCTGCAGCCATGAGAACGATTGGATATTGACTCCTTTTCTTTAAGAAGTGGTCTCAGCCCTGCTCAGAAGGATCACAGCTGTATTACCATGGCTGAGCCTCTTTGCTGAGCGGCTGGGACTCCACGTCAAGCCCTGCAGTGGGACCCTGCAACACAAAATCACAGCTGGGTTACAGGGGGCAAAGCACTGGGGGCAGTTCCAAATCAACTTTAAAGGGAAATAAAAATAGTTCCAGTTAGTTCAAGGTGTGTCGTTCCTAAAGGTGTTTCTTAGCAAATAATCCCCTGTGAAATCAGCTGCTCACTGCCAGACGGCAGGACCCTTTTCAGCAAGGCCTTGAGATGTACAATCATACAAGTATAGAATCTTTTAGGTTGGAAAAGACCTTTAAGGCCATGGAATCCAACCCTTCCCAGCACTGCCAAGGCCACCACTGACCATGTCCCCAAGTGCCACATCCCCAGGGCTTGGAAATCCCTCCAGGGCTGGGCACTCCAAACCTCCCTGGGCAGCCCCTGCCAAGGCCTCACCACCCTTTCCAGCAACAAATTCCTCCTCAGGGCCAACCTGAGCCTCCCCTGGCACAGCTTGAGGCCGTTTCCCCTTGTCCTGTCCCTGTTCCCTGGGAGCAGAGCCCGACCCCCCCCGGCTCCCCCCTCCTGGCAGGGACTTGCAGAGCCAGAAGGTCCCCCCTGAGCCTCCTTTTCTCCAGGATGAGCCCCCCCAGCTCTCTCAGCCGCTCCTGCTGCTCCAGCTCCTTCCCAGCCCCGTCGCCCTCGAGCTCCCCTGAGCCGCCTTTCCTCCCCGGCTGCCCCAGAGCCCTCACCCCGCCCCGAGCAGCAGCGGCCGGGCCTCACCTGCCCATGCCCGCAGCCCCCCAGCTCCGCAGCGCCCGCCCCTGTCCCTCAGGGCCGCCATGGCCGCCCCCCCACAGCGCGGCGTTGCCAGGGCAAAGGGGCGGCCACCGGGGCGGGGCCTGCCGCTGACGGACAGCCCCTTGACCAATCCGCTGCTGAGACAGACACCTCTTGACCAATCCGCTGTCGGGGGCGGGGCCTGCGACTGTTGCGGGCTTTAAAGCCCCGTGTAGGAAAAGGGCAGGAAAAGCTTTGGGGCTGAGGGGCTGAGGAGGATGAGGAGGGTGAGGAGGATGAGGAGGATGAGGAGGATGAGGAGGGATCGTGGAGTCACAGCCACACAGTCAGAGAAACACAGAACCCACCGCGTCGGGAAACACCTCCGGGATCATCAAATCCAAGCGTTACTCCAACCCCGCCGTGGTTACCGGAGCACGGCACTGGTGCCACATCCAGTCCCATCTTTCCCATGTCCGATCACACCCTCAGTAAAAAGTTTCTTCCCAATATCCAACCTAATGTGAGGGGGATGAAGGGACTGAGGAACTGAGGCGATGAGGGGAGTGAAGGGTACGAGGGGAATGAAGGGGATGAAGGGAATGAAGGGGATGAAAGGAATGAAGGGGATGAAAGGAATGAAGGGAATGGGGGGATGAAAGGGATGAGGGGATGAAGGGGATCAGGGGAATGCAGGGGATGAGGGACTAGAGGGGACCGAGGGGACATGAAGGGCTGAGGGCACATCAGGCACCATCCCTGTCCTTGTCCTCATCCTTGTCCTCATCCTGGTCTCCATCTCCTCGTCCTTGTCCCAATCCCAATCCCAATCCCAATCCCGACATTAGGCACAAAGAGTCGTTGTCTCGCCCCCCCCAGCCAAAAATCCCAGGGAAAGGCCCTAAGGAGGCGAACAAGGAGCCCCAAAGAGTTGATACCCGAGGGGAGGGAGGAAGGGCTGCTGAGCACAGGCTTGGAAAGCTCGGGGAGAGTAACGGGATATTCCCGGCCTGGGCAGGTTTTGGGATGGGTTGGGGGAGGTCTTTGGGCTGGGTTTGGGGGTGATTTTTGGGGGTGTTTTTGGTGTGGCTTGGGGGCGGTGTTTTTTTGTGATTTTGGGGGTGGTTTGGGGGTATTTTTGTGGTTTCAAATCTTCGTTCGCGAAGCCTAGCCATGATGTGGTAATTTTGGGAGAGGTTTTGGGATATTTTGGAAGTGGTTTTGGGGTGGTTTCAGGGTGTTTTGAGGGATTTTTTTGTGGGTGTTTGGGGATGTTTTTCGTGGGTATTTTTGTGGTGGTTTTTGGGGCGATTTTGGGGTGATTTGGGGTGTTTTTCAGATTTGCTGGGGGGTATTTTGGGGGTGTTTTTGTGGTGATTTTGGGGGTGGTTTTGGGGGTATTTTTAGGGTGATTTAGGGGAGCTTTGGGGTGGTTTGGGGTGATTTTTGGGGTATTTTGGGGGTGGTTTTGGAGCATCTTGGGGTGGGTTTGGGGTATTTTTGTGGTGTTTTTGGTGTAGTTTTGGGGCATTTTGGGGGTGATTTTTGGGGTGGTTTTAAGGTGATTTTTGAGGTGATTTTGAGGGTGGTTTGGGGCTGATTTCAGGGTATTTTGGGGGTGATTTTGGAGGTGGTTTGAGGGCATTTTTGGGTGATTTTGGAGATGTTTTCGGGTTGTTTTGGGGGAATTTTTGGGGGGTATTTCTGGGGTGATTTTGATAGTTGGTTTGGAGCGTTTTGAGGTGATTTTGGAGTCGTTTTGGGGGATTTTTGGGGTGATTTGGGGTGGTTTTGGGGCGATTTTGGGGTGGTTTTCAGATTTTTTGAGGTATTTTTGTGGGTGATTTTTGGGGTGATTTCAGGTGCCTTTGTGGTGATTTTGGGGGTGTTTTGGGGGTATTTTGGGGGTGATTTAGGGGAGCTTTGGGGTGATTTTGGGGTGATTTTTGGGGTATTTTGGGGGTGGTTTGGAGGTATTTTTGCTGTGATTTTGGGGGTGGTTTTGGAGCATCTTAGGGTGGGTCTGGGGCATTTTGGGGGTGATTTTTGGTGTGGTTTTGGGGGTATTTTTGGTTTGATTTTGGTGGTGCTTTTGGGGCGGTTTTGTGGTGATTTTAGGGTTTTTTTAGGGTATATTTGGAGTGATTTCAGGGTGTTTTGGGGTGATTTTGGGGGTGGTTTTGGGGAATTTTTGTGGGTGATTTTGGGTGATTTTAGGGGGGATTGGGGTGGTTTTAGGGTGATTTTGGGGTGATTTTGAGGGTGGTTTGGGGCTGATTTCAGGGTATTTTGGGGGTGATTTTGGAGGTGTTTTCGGGTTGTTTTGGGGATTTTTAGTATTTTGGGGTGATTTAGGGGGCTTTGAGGTATTTTGGGGTGATTTTGATGGTGGTTTAGGGTATTTTTGGGGTGATTTGGGGGTGGTTTTGGGGTGATTTTGGAGTGGTTTTCAGATTTTTGGAGAGTATTTTGGGGTGATTTCAGGTGTCTTTGGGTGATTTTGGGGTGTTTGGGGTATTTTGGGGTGATTTAGGAGTTTGGGGTGGTTTTGGGGTGATTTTTGGGGTGATTTTGGGGGTCTTTGGGTATTTTTGGGGTGATTTTGGAGTATTTAGGGCATTTTGAGAGTGATTTTGGGTGGTTTTGGGGTAGGTGATTTATGGTGTGATTTTTTGGTGAGTGATTTTGAGGGTGGTTTGGGGCTGATTTTAGGGTATTTTGGGGGTGATTTTGGAGGTGTTTTCGGGTTGTTTTGGGGGAATTTTTTTTTAGTATTTTTGGGGTGATTTAGGGAGGGCTTTGAGGTATTTTTGGGGTGATTTTGATGGTGGTTTGGGGCATTTTTGGGGTGATTTGGGGGTGGTTTTGGGGTGATTTTGGAGTGGTTTTCAGATTTTTTGGAGAGTATTTTTGGGGTGATTTCAGGTTGTCTTTGTGGTGATTTTGGGGGTGTTTTGGGGGTGATTTAGGGGAGCTTTGGGGTGGTTTGGGGTGATTTTTGGGGTATTTTGGGGGTCTTCTGGGAGTATTTTTGGGGTGATTTTGGAGTAGTTTAGGGGCATTTTGAGAGTGATTTTTGGGGTGGTTTTGGGGGTATTTTTGGTTTGATTTTGGTGGTGCTTTTGGGGCAGTTTTGTGGTGATTTTAGTGGGTTTTTTTAGGGTATATTTGGAGTGATTTCAGGGTGTTTTGGGGTGATTTTGGGGTGTTTTTGGGGAATTTTTGTGGGTGATTTTGGGGGGTTTTGGGGTGGTTTTAGGGTGATTTTGAGGGTGGTTTTGGGGCTGATTTCAGGGTATTTTGGGGGTGTTTTCAGGGAAGTTTTTGGGATGATTTTGAGTTGATTTTTGGGTTGATTTTGGTCGTGTCTTTGAGCTGATTTTTGGGTATTATGGGTGTGGTTTTGTGGTGTTTTGGGGTGATTTTCGTGTATTTTAGGGCTATTTGGAGAAATTTCGGGGAGGTATTTTTGGGGTGATTTTGGGGGAGGCTGCAGTATTTTGGGGATGATTTTTGGCGTGTTTTGGTGGTGTTTTGGGGCTGATTTTGGGAGTATTTTGGAGGTGGTTTGCAGGCTCTAATGGGATGGCTTTGGGATGATTTTTGGGCTGATATCAGGGTATTTTGGGGGTGATTTGGGGATTTTTTGCGGCATTTTTGGGGTGATTTTGAGGGGTTTTGGTGTGATTTTTGGGGCGGTTTTGGGGGGGGGGTGTTGGTGAAGGAAAGGATTCAACCACAGCAAACCCTTCCAGCAACCACCTGGAGGTGGAAAAAAGTAATTCTTTATACCCCAATCACCCCCAAAACTGAGCACGGAGGGGACCTGGAACCCCCTCCCTGCAGGGGAGGGATAAGGGATGTTCCTCCAGCAGGGCAGGAACCACCACACGCTTTGCTCGGGAAATGTCCCAGGAAACACCGAAAGGGTTGGTCCAGAAATGTGGTCTGCCAGGGAATTTTTAAGGAGAAGAAAATCTTCATTGTGATGAAAAAAAAAAAAAGGTTGAAATGGCTCCTGGTCGGCCTTGGGGAGACATAAATATTATATATATATAAATATATAATATATTAATAGGGGTTGCACTGGATGATCTCACAGGTCCTTTCCAACCCAGCTGATTCTGTGATTCTATACTATATGTAATAATATATATAATATACAATGTGAGAACATAAAGTATATATTACATAAGTATATTATATGTTATAATATATAATATATATTTATATATAATATAGAATAATATAATACTATAATAACATAATAATGTATTGTATATTATATATATTAATATATAATTATACAAAATATATAACATAATATATTATTGTATGTTATACATTATATATAATATATATAATGTGATAATACATAATGTATTAAAATATATATTATGTATTACATAATAATCGAACATATATTACATAATATATAATATTTAATGTATTATATATCACATTATATATCATGTGTATAATAATATATATTATATATAATGTGATAATATTAATATAGTATAACATATGGTATACATAATATATAATATTATATACAATGTATATTATATAATATATATTACCTATATTGCATTATATATTTTATATTATAAATACTTTATTACATACTATATATTATACTATATATCACTATATTATAGTGATATATTATTTATTATATATATTATATATAATATATATTATGTTAGTATATATGATACTATATAATAAATAATGTGATACTTTATAGTATAATACATGTTATTATATATTATATATAATATGATATAATGTAATATATATCATATTATAAATCATATATTGTGGGAAATATTATATGTATAAAAGAAATGTTATATTTATATTACTATATTATAATTTATAATTTATTATTATATTAATTATAATGTTTATTATTATAGGTATATTTTTATATGCATACATTATATGTATAAAATATATAATTTATAAATATATTTAATGTATAAATTATATAAATTATATAAACTATATAATTATATAAATATTTAATTTAACTGGTGTAACCCTCCCCTGGTCGCTTTATTTTACACAGAGGTTTTTTATGGAGATCCATCTCCAGGAAGCAGAAATTTTGGTGGTGGGGTTGGAAATAAATAATATTCCAAGAACAGTTTATACCATCGTCCACCACACAGACACTCAGGCAGGAATTTGTATTTCTGCTATGAATTTCTATTGTACTTCTAATTTTTATTTTTAATTTGAAATTTGTATTTTTAATTTGTATTTCTAATTTGTATTTTTATTTTTAATTTTATTTAATTTTATTTATTTAATTTTATTTATTTAATTTTATTTAAATTTAATGTATTTGCATTTTTAATTTGTACTTCTAGTTTGTATTTCTAATCTTCAGCTCAGTAAAAATGACAGGCACTGAAAAGCCATAAAAGCCTCCTACAAAGCAGAATTTAAATATGAAATATAGAGAAATGTACTTTGTGTATCTACTGTTTATTTTTTTCTGACATACTGGGGATGTGGGCAGGGCTGGGGAGGGTTTTGCCCTTTAAAAATTAAAAGAAGAAAAAAAAAAGGAGGAAAAGAAGCATTTAAATCAAGGCCTGGGAAGAAAAAGGTGAACTGAAGAGAAGCCCTTTCCAAGCAGCTCTGGGTTATTCTGGACAAAAGCACGTTCAGAAAGGTTTTTCCCAGGGTTTCATGGCACTTCCACGAGGAACACCTTGGACAGAGCCCAGCAGGGAAACATTCCCGGTGGATTCCACTGCAAAAAAAGGCCTCAAATCCCCTCGTCCCAAACTCCTGGGTTGGATTTATTGACAAACACAGCCCGCTGGGTGAGCACCCAACGCCTGGACAATCCCTCCCCTGCAGCACAGCCTCACCCCAGGGGAGCTTTGTTATTAAATTTAACTCTTCCTTTATTAAATCAGAGACAATTTACAGCTTTACGCGCTGCTCATCACGAGAACCACGAGCCCTGCTGTCCCCTCCTTCCCCCACGTCAAGCAAAGCACTTTCCCTCCCCCCGTCGGACCTGGCATGGACATTCCCCCGGATCACCCCAAATCCGTGGGGAAAGCAGGTTGTTCAGTGCACTGCTCCCTCCTCCAGGGCTGCAAGGGCTGAAGAGCAACCTGGAATGCCAGTGCTGGAGGAATTGTCCTTCAAAACCCTCCTCCACAGCCCCGGGATGCGGCACAGCACGGTCCAGAACATGGCACAGCACGGCCCAGAACGCGGCCCAGAACGCGGCACAGCACGGCCCGGAACATGGCACAGCACGGCCCAGAACGCGGCACAGCACGGCCCAGAACGCGGCCCAGAACGCGGCACAGCACGGCCCGGGGGTCGCTGCTGGCCAAGAGGGAGGGAAGGGCACGGTGGAGGAAGGAGAGGCAGTGGGAGGGCAGTGGGACTGAACATGCAACAATTGTCACTCGTGGAATCGGCCCTCTGGGAGCTGGGTCACGGATCCCAGGGACAGCAGGGGACGTTGGCCAAGCCAGCTTGGTTGGAGACATCCCAACTGATGGTGCCAGAGTGACCATCCCTGCTCCTGACGCCTTCCCCGCAGCTGCTGAGGGCCAGGAGGGGTTTGGAGCACATCAAACGGAGGAGGTCCAGCCGGGGAGAATTGGGGAGAGACGGGAACCTTTCCCACTGGGAACGGCAACACCAAACCCACCAGCATGATCCCAGCTGAGGGACTGCCCTGGGGCTGCGGCCCAGACCACATGAGTGAGCTTATTCCGGGTTCCTAAACCCCCAAAAACCCAGAAAACCAGGACAAACGAACCATACTGAAAGGTCACAACAGCCCCTGGATGCCGGGGCCGCCCCAAGGCCTCTGGTGTCGCTCCGAGGAGCCACAGCAAAGGGGTGGCCTCCAAAAAGGCGGCACCTGGGCCGTGTCTGGGCACACAAGGAGAGGTTTGCTCTCTTTGGGAAGAGCACTCTGGAGACCCCCCCATGCCCAAACCCCCCCTGCCGCCCCAGGAGGCCTCGGCGGGGCCGCGTCACTGGCAGTGCAGCAGCTCCTCCCAGCGAATGGGCTGGGAGAACACCTCCCGCTCCAGCCACAGCTCGTAGGAGAGGTGGAAGTCTCGGGGCAGGTCGAGGCGCTGGCCCAGCACGCTCTGCAGGCAGTTGTCCACGGGGCACAGCTCGGGGGGCCGCGCGCGCTCGTAGCGCCGGCTGTTGAAGGCCTCGATGCTGGCCCGCAGGGTGCACTCCTCAGCCTGGAAATCCCACGGCCTGGCGTCGATGTCTGCGGGGAACAGAGAAAAAACAGCATGGCAGGGGTGGGGGGAATAACTCCCATAAGGTTTGGGCAAGAGAAAGGGTGAAGATTTCACCCTGAGTTGACCAGTCACTTATTCTTTCTTCTTTTTCCACTTCTTTTTCTTTCTTCTTTGCCTTTTTCTTTATTTTGCTTCTTTTTCTTCTTCTTTTCTTCTTGTTCTCCTTCTTCTCCTTTTTCCTCTTCCTCTCCTCCTCCTCCTTCTTTTTTTTATAATTTTTTTAAAAATTCTTATTCTCATTCTTCCTAACAAAATTCCATTGTGTATGCATTTGAATGTAATGCATCCTAGAGAAATCTAGTTCTATCTGCTTTAAGCACTCACTATGATTACCATTCTGCTTTTTTCAGAAAGACCCCACCCTAACAGAATTAAAATGGTTTTGTCTTTTGGAAAAAAAAGGGGAAGATGTCAGGCTTTTTGTTCCTTGCCATGTTCTCTTTTGAAACAGGAATGCTGCCCGATTTTCCTATTTAATCCTCACTAAAAACCCCATCCCTGCAAGTGTCCCAGGCCAGGCTGGGGCTTGGAGCAACCTGGGATAGTGGAAGGTGTCCCTGCCGTGGGCAGCTTGGTGAGCTGGTGTCCCAAACGGGCTGGCGGTGCAGAGGGGAGGCCTGGCCTTGGGGGACACTCCTGTCGGGGACCCCCGCACTGCCCACGGCCCAGCGCGACCCCACAATTCCCACCGCTCCCTGTCCATGGAGCAGCTCCAGGCTGCTCACCGGGCGGGCGTGGGGCACTCTGAGAGGTGTGGGGCACTCTGAGAGGTGTGGGGCACTCACTCTGAGGGGTGTGGGGCACTCTGAAGGGTGTGGGGCACTCTGAGGGGTGTGGGGCACTCTGAGAGGTGTGGGGTACCCACTGTGAGAGGTGTGGGGCACTCACTCTGAGAGGTGTGGGGCACTCTGACAGGCGTGGGGCACCCTGACAGGTGTGGGCACTCTGAGGGGTCCGAGGGCCGGGCTCACTCACCGTTGCCGTAGGCCCAGTCGTCGTTCATGCGGTGCCGCACCTTCTGGTAGATGGCCGACATGGTCTTCATGTTGCTCTTCCTCCACTGGCGCCCCAGGTACTTGGTCTGGATCTTGAGCAGCTTGAGCACGTAGAGCTGCAGCATGGCCTGCTTCACCTTCAGCGCCCGCTTCAGGATCGGCGCCGACTTGAACACCACCAGCATCTGCCAGGGACCCGCGGCAATCAGGGCAGGGCGGGCAGGGAAGCCACATCAGCCCTGCCTGGGCCACCTGGGGCACCCACAGCACCAGCGGGGCCACAGACACCACCGCCAGCCCCAAGCACATGGGACAGGGCAGCACAACCAACACCCGCTGCCCGGGGCTGGGGGCTCAGGCAAAGACGGGGCTGCTGGCAGAAAAAAGGGTATTTCTGCATTTTGTGCATTTAAAGCTCAATCAGTGAGAGGGAAAGGGCAGGTGAGGAAGGGCAGAAGCTCCAGCACTGCTGGAAGGAATGCTCAGCAGCAAGGCCGGGCTTAGAGCCAGGGACACGCTCCAGGAAGGGCAAAGCCAGGCTTAGAACCAGGGACATGCTCCAGGAAGGGCAAAGCCAGGCTTAGAGCTGGGGACACGCTCCAGGAGGGCCGGGCCTCGAGGTCTCAAGGAGATGGGATGTCACCTCACCATTGTCCTGGAGTGTTTCCACTTGGTCAGTTTGTTGAGGATCCTCAGCAGGTTGATGCAGGAGAACAGATTCCTCCAGCAGAACTGGTTGTTGTCTCCAGCTTCCTGCAATGGGAGAAGGAGAAGAGTAACCCAGACCAAGTGTTCGACAGCCCCCCCAGAGGGGTCCTCGTGCACAAAGTCTGTGTTTTTACTGTCTGCACGAGTCTTATTCCTGCTCCTCACTGGATTTATCCTCCCTGCAGATGTTCCAGCAGAAGGGGCTCTGCTGAATGGTGGATTCTGGGAATCACCACCAGGAAAGCAAGGAAAAATCAGTGGAACACAAGCTGGGCCTTCTGAGTCTGTGTGGGGATGGTGACACCAAACAGAATCCCAGGATCCCTGAGGTTGGAAAAGCCCTCCCAGCCCATGGAGCCACCCCTGTGCCCCATCCCCACCTTGTCCCCCAGCCCAGAGCACTGAGTGCCACGGCCAGGCCTGCCTGGGACACCTCCAGGGCTGGGCACTCCAAACCTCCCTGGGCAGCCCCTGCCAAGGCCTCACCACCCTTTCCATGAGGAAATTCCTCCTGGAGCTGATCAGTTCAGTGAGCTGGTCAAATATTACTGCACATACAATTTTTGAGGCCAACCAGAACGCGCTGCTGACCGAGTTTATTTAATTCTGGGATTAAAAAAGCCACTGTGAGTAAATGCACATTTTGTGCCAGTGGAGGCTGTGCAGGGCTGGGGTGTCACCAGGATGTCACTGGGATGTCACCAAGGTGCTGGTGGGTGCTGTGTGCTGCTCTGGGGGTCCCAGCTCAGGAGGAGTGCCCAGGCCTAATCTTGCTCCCTCTGCACCAAGGAATTTTTCCAGAGTAAGCCAATATCCATTTCTTACACAGATGGATTTATTTGTCACCAACCTGATGTTGTCTCTAAAGCTTCGAGTAGGGGAGGGTCTTTCTATCATATTTATGGAAGGAGGGAACGGGCTCAGCAGGTTTGAATCCCCGTTTTCAGGGGTGGATGGAGTCCTGTGCAGCCCCTCCCCAACACAGGGAGCTGCAGGGGAGATGGGGACAGGCAAAGAATCCAGAGCCTTTCCCACCCCAGGATGGGGGAATCCCCCAGAACCTGGCTGGGATTGCAGCCACTCCTGACCTACCCTGTGTGGGGACAGCAGTTCCCCCACAGGTCCCTCCTGTGGGGACAGCACTGCTGAAATCCTGGGAATAAACTTCCATGGGAATGAACCGCAGTCACACATGGCTCTGCTCAGCCCCTGAGAGCAGGATCACCTCTCACAAGGACTGGGGCACTCTGGGGGGTCCAAATCACTCAGCAGGAGCCAAAACAGCCAAACCAATGGATGGAAATGTTGGCTGGAGAAACACAACCATGGGCACTGACATTTGCCTCAAGCAGCAGGGAATGTCCAATTCCCAACAAACCCTCACTTCCACGGGGATCCCCCGGAGATGAGCCCGTGGGGTAAAATCCAGGCTGGTTCCTGCTCATCTTCTGATTAATTTAATCTCCTGTGAGGACAACATCCATGTCTGCTGGAGGACAGCAACCTGCAGCAGCTCCCAAACTGGGGATACCTTCCCTAAAAAAAGCTCCATTTTCTTCTAGAGGCTTAAAGCTGATTGTGAGGACTGGTGTGAGGCAGCAGAGCCCTCAGCCACCTGTCACTAGATGTCCCCACTGATCCAGGGCCGGGCTGACAGAGCCTGGCAGGGCTGCACCAGGACCCCGCACCTGGGAAAAATCCTTCCCTCCGGCGATTTTAACCTTTGCACGGCCAAGGAAAACAACACAGCATTATGATTTTAGCAGCCAGGCACCATTAGATCACCCCTGCCCAGACTGGGTTTGCTCAGGCTCCTTCGTGATGATTTAGGGTCTCCATTCCCCTCTCCATTCCCTGTTAACCTCAAAGCTTTTCCCTGCTCCGTGCCCTGGCTGAGTCCTGCTCTGAGTTACTGCAGTCATGAACCTGCCACAATTGATGTCTTCTCTGCAGTCTGTGTGTTTCTATGGGGTCTCCATAACACTTAAGGCTCCTCTCCACAGGGAATTGGGTTCATTCCTTAATACAGTTGGAGATACCTGATGAAACTCGAGTGCTCAGAGCAACTTAAACCAGAGCAGTTGAAGCCTTTCCTAAAGCAGGAGTCTTGTCTCGACAGCACAAGGGGAAACGGCCTCAAGCTGTGCCAGGGGAGGCTCAGGTTGGCCATGAGGAGGAATTTCCTCATGGAAAGGGTGTTCAGGTCTTGGCAGGGGCTGCCCAGGGAGGTTTGGAGTGCCCAGCCCTGGAGGTGTCCCAGGCAGGCCTGGCCGTGGCACTCAGTGCTCTGGGCTGGGGGACAGGTGGGGATGGGGCACAGGGTGATCCATGGGCTGGGAGGGCTTTTCCAGCCTCAGGGATCCTGGGATTCTATTCTCTGAAAGGAAGAACTCTGACTCCACTGTTTTTATGGGGTGCCCAACACCAGCTGTGCCTCCTCCCTCCCCACCTCCCACAGCCACTCGGGGCAGCCCCAGGAGGGATTTTCATGTCGGGAGTGGGGGGAAAGGTCTAACTTTGGAAAGGTTTGGGAGGAAGAAGAAAAGAAGTCAGAGGAAAGAAAACCAACCCCCTTCCTCAGCCTTTCCCAGGCAGCAGTAGCGGTCCCAGGGCCCTGTGAGTGCTGCTTACCAGGCTCTCTGCTGTCAGCTCGGGCAGGTCACACACCGTGCAGTGAGGGTAATCCAGGACGGAGACACTGCGGGAAACAGGGAAGCAGGGAATCATTAGGCACGTGGAGACAACTTCTGAGGATGATCCACATGATTACACCCAGCCAGCTGTCAGATCTTCCTGCCCCCTGCCCGGGGTTTGAACTCCAGCGGCAGCGCTGCCTGAATGAGGAATTCGGGCTGGGAGCAATCCCTTCTCCAGCACCCATGGGTGTCCCTCCTGCATTCCCAGTGGCATCCAAACGGGATCCCAACCTCACCACTGCCTCCCCTCACAGCTTAAATGCAGCACAGGGATCCCTCTGGGCTCCCAGGAGCATCCCCAGTGTGTCAGTGAGGACTCCAGGGATTTGGATCCATGAAGACAGGACAGGTCATGGTGTATTAAAAAGGGATGAAAACCAAAAAACCCAAAATAGATCCGAGGTTAAAATCTGTTGGGTTAAAATGGAGATGTCTGATTGGCAGCAGGAAAATTCACAGTGGGGGTGTCAGGTCTTTGGAAGCCCTCCAGGCACATGGACTTTGGAAAAGGAGTCAATTAAAACCTCCAAAGTATAAATTTATATATAATGGAAATCATTTGCCACAAGTCAGCGTGGATTTGGCATCACCTCTGACATTTCCCTTTGCAGCATCTCTGGAGTGGGGTCTGTGCCTCTGAACTGACCAAATCCCACCTCTGGAGTGGGGTCTGTGCCTCTAAGTGTGACCGAATCCCACATCTGGAGTGGGGTCTGTGCATCTGGACTGACCAAATCCCACATCTGGAGTGGGGTCTGTGCCTCTGTGACCCAACCCCCCAGGATAATTCCTCTTGCAGGCAGTGCCTGATGTTTGCTGTGCTCTGACAACCCAGGGCTCTGGAGTTTAAACCTGCCTGGCTCAGAGCATCCAGCTGCACATCCCCCTCATCCATAGGTGTGGATCCTGTGGGACCTCCCCCAGGGAGCAGAGGGAGGAGCTCGGTGCTCCTGGGAGACGTTTCCTCCCAGCTCATGGTGCAGGACCAGAAGTGGAAATGTTTCTGGCAGGAACAATCAACACCTTCCCGTTTTCCCACGTGTTCCCTCTCACACACACAAACCACACCGTGCAGGAGGCACACCCAGCCCACACACACAGCTGAGGAGCAACAAAACAGCATCAAAAAGGAAGAAAAGGGGTGTTTTGGTTATTCCATCGTCCCTCTGAACAGGGCAGTCCCACCCTGGTGAGCTGTGGAAGTGCAGGGCTCTCTCAGTTCATGGTGGTGCCACCAGTTCCCTGCTCCAACTGGGGCTGGTGCCTTTCTCAGATCAGCACTAGAAGGCAGGGACAGCCATGCAGAAGATGAATTATGGCCATAAAATATGGAGAGGACCAAGAGGACACTCCCCACTGGCCATTCCAAAGCTGTGGCCTGTGGGGACACCGGGCTGCTCTCCAGGAGAAAGCTGAGAACAAGCCCAGTTTGTTTTAGCAGAGGTGTTTTAGTGAGAGGCTGGAAACCACCACCCATCCCTTCTCCTCCTCATGCCAAGGGCTTTGGCTCCCTGCAGCCAATTCCTGCCCCAGAGCCCTGCAGGGACTGGCGGGTCACAGATCCCACCACAGACTCCCCCCAGGGTTCCTCATTCCCAAAGCCCTCTCCCTGCTCCATCTCACCCAGGGGTGGCTGTACCTGTTCTTGGCAGTGATGTAGGACATGATGTTCTGGTTGAAGAACTTGAGGATCAGGGGGATGCAGTTGGCAAACACCAGGTGTTGGGACACGTACTCGAACTGCGGGGGAGAGAAGGGAAACGGGGTCAAAGCTGGGACATCTGGGAGCTCCACCTGGGAATGGGAACCTTTCCAGCCCAGAGCAAAGCACTCCTGATGGCTTGAGGCACCTCCCAGACCATCTCCCCCCCGGCCTGTGCCGTGTCCAGCAGCTGGAAAGTCCCCTTTGCCACAGGGTGGCCACAGGAACTCGGTGGCAGTGCTTTAGGAACAGCTGCACCCCAAGCAAATGTGGCTTTGCAGCAGTAAAGCTGTGGTAAAACAGAGCCTGGGGAAGGGGGAAGGAGGAGCTGTAGCTGCTACCTGAGAAAATAACAGTGATTCCTGCTGCTCTCCCACACCAATCCCACCTCCCTTGAAAATTCTGACTGAAAAAATGTCCTTGGCTTCAGAAATGCTTTCAATGTTTGTTCCCCCTCAAAGCATTAAATGGTCTTTAAGGTCCCTTCCAGCCCAAACCGTGCCATGACTCTGTGATTCCGTGATTTCAGCCCTGCCATGGTTTTTAGGGTGCTCCCTGAGTCCTTTTGGCACCAAACACTGCTGATGCCTCACCCAAAATCACCCCCAGAGGCAGGATCGAGGCACCAAACCCCCCCAGCTTTCTCCAGGCTCAGCACCAGGGTCCTCCTGCTTTGGAGTGAGAAAAATGAGGGAGGGGATGTGGGGAACCCTAGAACAAAGGTGGGTCTGTCAGAACCGGGGGGGTTGTTTCGTTTTGGGCAATCCAATCCGTGGATTTACACTTCTCCTACTGTTTCATTTTACCCAATGCAACATGTGGATTTCTATTTCCCCTCGGATAAATGTCAGTGAATAACACAGAGGGACTTGAACCGTGCTGAAACCTTCCAAAGAAAAAAAACATTTAGAAATACTTGGAAATGCTTGGAAAGCACTGCCTGTTTGACTGGCAGAATGGGTGGAGAGCTGGACCACAGCTCATGTCAGCCCTGCTTTTTTTTTTTTTCCTTTAGATCAAGGGAAGTCCTGGAGTGGGTGCAGATGGCACAAAAACCAGATTATAGCTTGGGCCCAGACCTGCCTCTGCTGAAACTGGAGCCTCCAGAATGTGATCCTGCCAAGAACCAGATTAGCTGACCCCGTTGAGGTCCTTCCCAGCCTATTTCTGGTCACTGGAGATGACACAGAGCACGAGAAGGTCTCGCCTAACCCCCTCCCCGTCCCCCTTCTGCCAGCAGGGCTCGTGCTCGGGCTCTGTCCTAAATTCTAAGCTGAGAGGCCACAGCAGGAATTGTTCCAGAAGCCCTAAAGCTCCTTGCATGTGAGTGGAAACGCTGCTGCCAGAGCACAGCTGAGGGACATTTCAGGCAGGTTCTCCCAGCCTGGGATAAATCCCGACTGGAGCTGGGACGAGCCCCACGGACACGCGAGCTCCCCACGGAAACCCCTCCTGGAACTCTGCTGGGAGAGGGTTCCTCGGGACACACTGACTTCAAGGGCAGCCTGGCAGGGGCCAAGCCTGCTCTTGGCTCACCTGGTAGATGTGGTTGAGCTTGAAGTGCTTGAGGAGCAGCAGCAGCGAGGCCGAGATGCTCTTGACGATGATCTCCTTGTGCCTGTTGACGTCCATGCCCAGCTTCATGCTCTGCAGGACGGTGATGCTGGGAGGGAGGCAAGGAGACAGCACTGTGGGTGTGGGAGTGTGGGAACGAGGGGCACTGGTGAGCTCGTGTTTGTCTGGACAAGCTCTATGGACACAGGGACCTTTGTTTTTCCCAGGATTCCCCTTCCATCCTTCCTTCCTGCTGACGCCAAAGTGCACCGAAAAAAGCAGGGCGGAAAGTGGATTTCCCTCCACCAGCAATCCTGGGGGACAGGTTGGAAGGACACCTTCCATGTGCTGATGTATCTTCAGGATTTGGGTGGATTAGCAGGGTTTTACCATTTGGGTCGCTTCTCCATCAGAGCCCTGGGGCTGCCGCCTGCACTGGCACCGTCACACTCCTGACAATCCAACAGCACCTCCCTGCCTTCCACCCCACCGCCCTGGTGGCAACTCCCAGCTCTCCAAACAGACACCCCCAGCCCTGCAGCCCCCCAGAGCCAGCAGCACACCCCGAGGCTGCTGGCACCGCTGGCACCCCCGGGCAGCACTCACGGCATCTCCTCGGGCAGCACGTCTGCCAGGATGTTGATGGAGTCGGTCTTGGCCTTGGAGGTGGGGGCAGCAGCCAGCAGGATCTTCAGCAGAGCTATCTGCAGGAGAGGGGGGTGGGGAGGGTGGTCCCTGGGAGAGAAGTCCTTCCTTCTCCTCCCCTCCCTGGCACTGGACAACTTCGAGCCAGCTCTACCAGACCACACCCAACCTGTCCTTTTATCCAGTGGGAACGCAGGCCAAGGTGGGATCACGGCAGCTCTGAGCTCAGCTCAGGGCATCCCACACACCTGAGCTCTGGTGGTGTGGATAAAACACACAAAGGACACCTGGAACAGTTCGGGGCTCCCACCAATGCGGAGGACTTCGTTCCTCGCTCCCAATCCTCTGCCCACATCCTCTTTTCCAGCCACTGACCCTGTCCCTGGGCACCTGCACCCCTTGCTCCTCTGAATCCCTCCTCCCTTCCTGGGCTGTACCTTCCACCCAGCTCTGCTCTGGATCCCCACCAGGATCTCACCATCCAAGTCCTGATCACCCCCCAGCCATCCCGTGCTGAGCTCTGCAGCTCCCAGGCCAGCTCCCACCATTCCCCACCCCAAAGCTCTCCCTTCCTTCTCCTGGGCTTCCCATCTGCAGCTCCCAGACCAGCTCCCACCATTCCCCACCCCAAAGCTCTCCCCTCCTTTTCCTGGGCTTACCATGTACTGGGGCAGGTTGTACAACATGGCTCGATACAAGACCTCACAGGGGGTTTCTTGGACTTCCTCCTCCCCCTGTCACGGGGAAACAGCAGAAAACAAGGCAAAATGAAGTAAAACAGAATTCCTGGATTCCTCTGACACACCTGGGTCTGGGTCTGGGGGGGCAGCAGCTTCTCACCAGAGACATGGGGCACTTCTCCAGCTCCTCCTCGTTCTTGATCTGGATGTCCGAGATGGAAACGTACTTGTGCTGGGAAAACACACCCAGAGGCACAGCAGTGTCACCACTGTCACCACAGGCAGTGGCGGCAACAGGCACTGCTTCCAGCAATATCCCAGCTATATCCCAGTATCCCCAGCGGGGACACGGAGATCTCGCTGTGTGGGATGTCCCTCTGTCCCAGAGCCCCTCACACCTCCTGCCTCGGATCGCTTCCACCCACTCCTTCTGGCACCTCCCTGGGTGTAAATGGAGAGGGACAATCACCTCCAAAAGACAGCCCAGACCAGAGACAGGGTCACTTGGCCCCTGGAGGGGCCTCCCTCCAGCTGGAGCATGGCTGGAGCCAAGGCTGGCCACGCTTCCCGCCGGGAACTGCACTGCTCTGGGATGTGTGTGTGTCCAAACCCAACCCTGGCAGTCTGTCACCTCCAAAACTCCAGGCAAACACTCACCAGGGAGCAGGAATGCCATGCCATGGACAAAGGGAAAGTAAAAATGCTGGATATCTGCTTGGAATTGCAGGGAGGGCTCAGATTTTAATTTTTTGCCCCAGAAGAAGCTCCAAAAACCTTTCCTGCTACAACTAACAAGGAGGATCTTCTCACTCCCTCCAGGACCTGTGTTTCAGCCAGAGGTTATCCAGGAGGATCCCACACCACAACAGGATATCCCAGGTGCTGTGTGTGGATCCACCACCTCACCTGCTTCAGAGTCTTCACACTTTCATGGATGGGCCGTGGGAGCCCGATCAGGGTCTCGGTGTCCCTGGGGAGGAGAAGGAAGGGGAGCAAAGGGTTATGTGAGGTAAAAGAGAGAGCCTGGAGTCTACTGGACACATCCTAGCTGGGTCAGGAACTGTGAGAGGGGTTGGCATGAGCTGCCCACCCTCCCACCTCCTCCCTGGGGAAGTTCCTCCAAGAAAGGAGCAACGTTAGGGTGAGGAACTGGGGTGAAATGAGATGAACTCAGGGCTGGGTGGAGCCATCCTGAGCTCAGCACTGCACCTAAAACTGCCTGGCCCCCTCTGGGCCCGGCCCAGGATGGCTCTGCACGCACAGCTTGGTTTGTTCCCAGACTGGGTCATTTCCTGAGGATGCTAAACTGTTTCAACTCCCTCCCACATCAAACCCATCCCGGCCTCAGGCCAGGGGTCTCCTGCTCCAGGTCTCACTTTTAATAAAAGAGGCCCTTGGGGAGCAGTGTGTCCAAGAACAGGCTTTTCCAACACTGCTTTCACCTGAGCTGGGAACACCTGAGCTTTGTGGACACCTCCCATGCACTGCTGGGATCCACAGGACAGGTTCTGGGGACACGACACTCACTGTCCCAGCGTGAATCCGATGAATTTGTTCCTGCTTGCTTCCAGGAAATGCTCGATGTCCTTCTGTCTGATGGAGCAGAGGAGAAACAGAGAACAGGGAGGAGGTTGGAAAACGGATCACAGCCTTGGATTGATTTCTGGAGGTCCCGTTAGCAACGGGAAAAGCCACCACTGGTTGAAGCAAACCCATTTGTATCTGCTGGGCAGCTCCGCTCTTCCACGGGAAAACAAACAACAACCAGCTCTACAACCAGCACCTTCCCATTCACCTCCTGTGCTCCTCCCACAGGCACCTCCAGAGGAGCATCTGCTCACTCTGAGTGAACAAATGTTGTCTCTGTGGTCTGCCTGAGCTCGTGCTGCTCCCAGAGCGAGCCGACACCTCCTCCACCCTGGGCATTTTCGTGGGAACTGCTCGGCATCAGCAGGACCAGAGCCAAGGATCTCAGGGGCAGAGAAGTCCAGCTGGATTTCCAGGGCCAAGGGAAACAACAGGAGGTTGCTGGGGAGAGGCTGAGAGCGTTCAGTGGCGTGGAGAACCACGGCACTGTGTGTGGAGATCCATGTGGGAAATGATTCCCGCCTGCCCGTCTGGATGGACCAACTTAACCCCGTCACTGCTCCCACAGCAGGAGCATCTCCGTGTGCTCCTGTGTGTCACAGGGACTGGGGTACAGCCAGGCCCTGGACAAGCAGCAACAGCCCTGGGGTGGATCAGAGGGAACGGGCAGAGCTTTGCACCCTCTTTTCCTGACGTTCCCTCATCCCCATGTGTGGAAAACCGCTCTGAGGGGGGGAAGGACCAGCCCCTTTGTCCGTGGATGTTTTTCTCCACCGCTCAGGAAGGTGCCACACAAGAGTCCAGCTCAGCAAGGCAGCTGTCAATCATTGACCAGTTCCCAGCAGGATCAGTTGAGGACCTTGCCCTTCCAAGACCGGTGCCAGCTGGGAAAGCTGACCCTGCTCCAGCACAGCCTCCTTCCCAGTACAGCCTGGGACATCCACAGTGGAACTGCCACTGCTTGGCCAAGCTTGGGTTTAAAACCCTGGGGAAGAGCTCAGCTAAGCCCAGCCCAGAAGGGACCAAACGAGACGGAACAAGGAGTGGAGTCACCTCAGTTCAGCCCCCCAGGAGACTTCCCACAGGCTGACGTGGGGCTGGGGAGGATGGCAGTGACACCAGGGGGCTTTACCTGACTTTGGGGGCCCAGGGCAGCCCCTTGGGGAAGGACACCCTCTCGATGGGCGGGCGCTGGGGGGGCAATGGGGGGACCATCGTGTCCCTCTCCAGCAGGTCCAGCTCCCCCTCGATCCCGCTGTCCACGTCATCGTTCTCCTCCTCATCCACTCCTGCCTCGTCGTTCTTGAAGGGGTCTCTCTCGTTGTAGATGTCCAAGCTGTCCTGTTTCACCAGGGGCTGCGGCACAAGGGGAAGGAGACACCCAAGTCACTCCGTGGATTTTATTTCCCTGCCAGCTGTCGGCACCAGATCTCTCCACCCTGGAAGGATCAAGCTCCCAGATGTTCCTCGGGTGAGGATTTCCCTCCTAGCCTGGCCTGGATAAGGAATAACTCCTTCTGCACCTCTAACCTCGCAGCTCTAGGAGGTGGGACCCCCTTTATCCACCTTAACTTCTGGAGCTTCCATCCCACATCTCTTCCCTCGCAAAAGTCATTTCATCCTCAGACCACAACACAGCAGCTCCGGGAGAGGAGCTAAAAACAGAACCTGCTGGGAGCAGTTTGCTCCTGGTGCTTATCAGCCCTTTGCCAGAGGGTTGGGATGTCCTCTGGCTTCCTCTGGGCAAACCCACCAGGGGCTGAGCTGCCACCACAGAAACTGGGGGTGGAAAACTGGACATGCCCTGGCCACGTGTCCTGAGAGCCCAAACCCAACTGTGCCCTGGGCTGATCCCACAGGGATTGTGGGCAGCAGGGGAGGGGGGATCCTGCCCCTCTGACCCCTCAGAGGAGACCCCTCTGCAGAGCTGCCCCAGCCCTGGGAACAGCAGCACAAGGATGTGGAGCTGCTGGAGAGAGTCCAGAGGAGACCCTGGAGCTGCTCCCAGGGCTGGATCCCTCTGCTCTGGAGCCAGGCTGGGACAGCTGGGAATGTTCATCCTGGAGAAGAGAAGGCTCCAGGGAGACCTGAGAGCCCCTTGCAGGGCCTAAAGGGGCTCCAGGAGAGCTGGAGAGGGACTGGGGACAAGAGATGGAGGGACAGGACACAGGGAATGGCTTCAGACTGGAAAAGTGGAGATTTGGATGGGATATTGAGAAGAAATTGCTGGCTAGGAGTGTGGGGAGGGGCTGGACTGGATTTCCCAGAGCAGCTGTGGCTGCCCCTGGATCCCTGGGAGCGTCCAAGGCCAGGCTGGAGCAACCTGGGACAGTGGAAGGCGTTGGTTGGAACCAGATGGATCCGAGGTCCCTCCCAGCCTGAACGCTGCTGGCCCTGCCCAGAGGACGCATCAGCTCCTACCCTGCGGCTGCGGTGGCCCCGTTTCTGCTGCTGCTGCTCCACCAGCTCGATGGAGTAGGTGGGAGGGGAGGCCGCCCTCATGCTCCGGACCACCTGGATGCTGTCCTCGGGCAGGGGGGGCAGCCCCAGCTCCTCCCGCCGCCGAACCTTCATGGCCTGCAGGGCCTCAAACCCGCCCAGCGTGAACTGCGGACAAAGGACAGCTCACAGCAGGGGGACACAGACACTGGGATGCTGGGCTTCCAGGGGCTTCAGCTGGGGGATCAGCCTGGGAACTTGAAGACACCTCAGTGCTGGTTCCTTCTCCAGACTTCATCCTATGTCCCCACCCCACGTCCTCCGCGTGCTCAGCCCGCCCTGATCCCAGGGGGTTGAAGACACCACACCCCTGGTTTGCTCTCCAGGGTCAGGGACCACTTCTCCCCATGTCCTCTGCGTGCTCAGCCCACCCTGACCCCAGAGGAACCCGCCCTGTGTCAGCTCCCTGTGCATCCCAAAGAACCTGGTTGTGGCTGGGGCCAGTAGAAGGGAACAGCCAGGCTGCAGCAGCACTATTCCAAAGTTTCTGGAAAAGAGGAAGGGTTTGCACTCACCAGGAGCACCTTCCAGAGCAGGAGCAGGACCTTCTTCATGGGGAAATGTGGAGCGTGGCCGCTGCAGAACTTGGTCACCATCGTGAAGAGCAGAAGAGCAAAGGGCTCCTCCGTGTGCACGGGGAAACCTGCGGAGAGAGGGAGCAGGGACGGCTTCGGAGCAGATCCCTCATCCCCGGGCTGTCCTCGCTGGCCCAGCGGAGCAAAGGGACCTCCAGAGGGCACAGTGGGCTGTGGGGCTCACTCAGCTCCATCCTGAAGGTCTCCCGGCAGGTTTTCCACTCGGGCGGATCCGTCTCCTGCTCCACGCGGATGTTCTCCACCAGCAGGTACATCACACTGAGCAGGACCCTGCGGGGACAGCAGCCAGCTGGGGCGTGTCCCTTGTCCCCAGGGGCTGTCCTGTTGTCCCACCCTCTCCCAGTGCCGGGCGGGGTACCTGAGCTCCGTGCTGTCGGCCAGGGAGATGGCCGGCTTCCGCAGGGCACTGCTGCAGGCCTGGCTGTTCCTGCAGGGAATGGTGCGGGATCGGCCCCAGCCCCGCCTCATCCCAGCCCACAGCCAACGGCTGAGCCTGGGAACACTGGGATGGGAGAGCTAACAGGGCTGGGGGACCCCCTGGGCATCCGTGAGGAGCAGCAGAAAGGAGGGGGGGAGGAGGGTGGGGAGGAGAGAAAGTGAAGAGGAGGAGGATGAGGAGAAAGAAGATGAAGAGGGTGAGGAGGATGGAAGAAGAAGGTGGGAAGGATGGAGGGAAAGAAGATGAAAAGGAGGAGGGTGAGGAGGATGAGGAGGAAGAAGGTGAAAAGAAAGGAAGAAGGGGAGAAAGGGGATCACAGAACCACAGAACCATTCAGGTTGGAAAAGCCCTCCAAGATCATGGAGTCCAAGAAGAGGAGGGTGGTGAGGGTGAGGAGAAAGAAGAGGGTGAAGCAGAGGACAGGAGGGTGAGGAGGGCAGTGGGATCCCCTCACTCGATCTCCATGTTGAGCAGCTCCAGGAAGGCGGAGAAGGTGCCCAGGCGGTAGAGCAGGAAGCTGTTGTGCCGAGACCAGTGCAGGACATCGCCTTCGCTATCGCAGTCCCCAAACACACCTGCAGAGCAGGGACAAACACGGGTCGGGGGATCCACCTTGGAGCCCACAGGGAGGAGCTTCCCCAGCCTGGCACACCCCAGGAGAAGGAGAAGGGTTCTGCCAAGGCTCCCGAGCCCCTGTGGAAGCAGGTCCGGGCGGGTGGTGCTTACCCTGTGCCAGGTAGAGGATGGCCCGGGCCACCCTGAGCCTCCTGTCCCTGTTGACCACCTCCAGCCCGTCCAGCAGGCGCATGACAAAGGCCTTCTGCTGGGCCCCGTCCAGCTCCAGCCACCTCCTGCCTGGCACTGCGGGAGGGACACGACCACCAGCCGGGGGCTTCCCCGGGGGTCCCACTCCCACCCTGGGGGGCTGCCCCAGGCCCAGGGCTGCTACCTTGAGCGTGGAAATCCTCCTCGAAGCATCTCCTGTTGTGGCTCAGCTCGGGCTCCTCAGTGTAGCTGTAGAGCTCTGTAGGACAAAGGGATCAGCAGGGACACGGAGGGGCTTCATCCTCCTCCTCCTCCTCCTCACAGCCAAATTCCTCATGAAGCTTCCAGGGAGACACGGGACAGAGACCTGAACTGATCCCTGAGCTCTCCTGAAGCTCCACGGGGCACCCTGGGACCACCCAGTGCTACCAAAGTCACCACCTCCATCCTGTGTGCGGGGGCTGCTCCCACACTCCTGCTCCAGCTGCATGTGCAATGTCACTGGGGTTTTTTTTTGGGGGGAGGTAATTTTAAGTCAGTTAAGGCAGTCTGGGGTGGGAGGGGATGCAGGAACACCCAGGCAAGACCTGTGCTGATTCCATAGCCGGCAGCTCAGGCATTTTGGGATCTGAAAACAGGGGCTGGACTTGGAGGGACACAATTGTTCTTCATAACCCCTACCTGTTCCTACAGAACCCCTGCCTGTTCCTACAGAGTCCCTGCCTGGTCCTAGAGAATTTGTTCTTCTGTTCCTATAAAATTCCTCCAGTCCTACAGTGCTGAGCAGCACCGTGGGGGACTGAAACGATCCTGCAGGGGAGGAGGGAGGATCCCTCGCGCAGGAAATGTGCTTTTGCCAGGGCAGCTCGTGCAGCTGAGGCAGCCAGAGCTAAAAATAACCCCTTGGCCGGGACACATTTGGGGCCGCGAGGTTACGGGGCAGGAGCAGCGGGAAGATACGGGACAAGGACACAGCGCCCGTGACAAAGGGTGACACTCCCAGCCTGGGCAGTGCCACGGGACACCCCTCCCTCCTCCCGCCGTTCCCAGGGTGATCCGGAGCGCGGGGAATTCCCCGCAGTCCCCCCTGCTCGTCCCCCCACACAGGGAGCGAGTGGCTCTCTATTAATAACCCCCTCTCGCTCCGTGACCGCCGCGGTGACACCGCTCCGCATCCACCCCCCATCCCGGCGGGATTCGCGTTCTCCCTCCCCGCCTGTCAAACAGCAGCACCGCCCCCCCAATCCGCCTCACCTGCCAGCTCGGCGCCGTGCCCGTCGGCATCCCCGTACTCGAACTCCAGGCTGGGACAATCCACGGAGCCCTGCGGGGAGCGGCCCGGGGTGAGCGGGGTGGGCTGGCACATCCCCGCGGGGCTTTGGGGAGCCGGGGGTGCCTCCAGCGCTCCGGGCTCTGCTCCAAAGCTGCTCCAAAGCTGCTCCGGCCACTCGCGGGCGGGTGGGTCCGCAGGGCTCGGGCTCCCCGTCCGTGCCAGGAGACTTAAAACACCGTGGAAATGCGGCGGGCGAGGGTAAAAACAGCGGTTCTCAAAGCCCGGGGGGAAGCAGCGGCAGGACCCGGAGCGCCGGTGAATATTTGACGCATTTCACAGCCCCGCGTGCCCCAAAAACCGAGCCCGGGGCTGCTTCAAAGCGGAGATCCCCGGGAGGATGCGGCTCCATCCTCGGCACCCCGGACCCGCCCGCTCTCGGGGCCGGGCTCTGCCTCTTTGAAGCCCTCGGTGTGGGTTTATCCCCCTCCTCCCCCGCGGAGGAGGAACTGGAGCGTGAAACTCCGCCGGAGGAGCCCGGCGGGGCGGGGAGGGGCGGCCGCGGCCACACGGACCCGGCGCCGACCCCCGGGAGGGGAACACGCGAATGGATAATCAACCCAATTAACATAATTCCTCCTCCCGAATGCCGGCGTGCCCCCCCCGGCAGCCGGGCCGGAGCTGCCGCTCATCCCCGCCGTTAATGTGGGTGAGCCGGGAGGTCCTCGGGGTACTGCGAGCCCGCCGGCCCCACAAACCCCGCATCCTCACCCCATTTGGGCGGCCGCGCGGGGTTCGGGCAGCTAAAGCCGCCGAGGAATTCGGCCGAGCCCTATAATCCGCTTGGAGAGGCCGAGCCGGAGCGGGGGAAGCAAACCCCGAATTCACGAGCCGCGGGGCCGCCACTCGGACGCCGTCCCCCAGGAAAAGGGACCCTTTTCTGGGTCAGGGAGAAGCAGCTCCTGGGTGGGGGAGCCAAATCTTCCCGTCCTGTGCTATGCGGGCCCCGCGGGGGCTTTGCGTGACCGGGGACAACGTCCCGGGCTGGATCCTGGTGACTGATCCCGGTCCTGCCTCCCCAGCCCGGCACCCAGAGCAGCCCGGGGGGTTCGGTGGCTCCCCCCGCCCCGGGGTTTTTCGGGCAGGAGGGTTGAAGGGTTGGGGGGGGACTGTGGCTGCCGGACCGTGGTGAGAGGGGCTAAGGGGATGTCTGGAGGGTGCGGGGGAGCCCAGGGTCCAACCGGGACCCCAAGACCCTGGTGCCGCTCTGGGAGCAGGGCAGGGAGGTGCCACTGCCGGGGCTTAGTCACGACCCCAAAACCCCGGTGCCAGCTCTGGGAATGGGGCAAGGAAATGCCGGTGCTGGAGCTTAGCTGGGATCCCAAACCCTTTCTGCTGGAGCTCAGAGTGGGGCAGGGAAATGCCAGTGCTAGGGCTTAGCGGGAAACCCCAAACCCTTCTGCTGGAGCTGGCGGTGGGGTGAGGATGTTCCAGTACCAGGGGCAGCCCCCCTGGGGACCCCCGACTGCGGGCTGGGCACCTCCGTCCCCCGCAGAACCCCTCTAAACCCGAGGTCAGGGTGAGGGCCAACCCCCAAGACCGAGAGCTCCGCCAGCCCTGGATAAAGCCCCTCCGGCAGGAGCCCCGACCGCGGGGCAGGGACCCCCCCAGCCCATGCGGGGTCCCCTCGGGAGTGACCCCGCCCGTACCTCGGACTCCTTGCGCTGGGTCCTGAAGAGCTCGCGGCCCTTGGGCTGTGGCTGTGGCTGTGGCTGTGGCTGTGGCTGTGGCGGTGCCGGGCGGGCCCTGCCGGGTCCCGGTGCCGGTGCCGGTGCCGGTGCGGGGGTCCCGCCGCCTCCCGCCGCCTCCATCGCTGTCACTGCCCCCCAGCACGTGGGGCCGGGCCCGGGACACGCCCCCGACACGCCCCCGCCGCTCCCATTGGCCCGCAGGGCAGGGGGCGGGGCCAAGGGACACGCCCCCTCCCTGCCATTGGCCCGCGGGGTCGGGAGGGGCTGGGAATGGGGGAGGACACCCTGGGGGACGGGAGATGTGGGGGATATGGGGGTCCCGGGGTCATGGGATGCTGGGGAGGGGGTATGGGGTGTTCTGGGGTCATGGAGTGTTGGGGAGGGGGTATGGGGTGTCCCTGGGGTCATGGGATGCTGGGGAGGGGGAATATGGGGTCTTTGGGGTACTGAGAGCATGGAATGCTGGGAGGAGGGGGACTGTGGGGAGTCCCTGGGATGCTGGGAGCGTGGGATGCGGGGGAGGGAGGTCTGGGGTGTCCTTGGGGGTGCTGGGAGCAGCCTCTGGGGACTGGAACAGGGGTGGGACAGAGGGACTCCCCCCACCACCCTCCCCCCCTTTCCTTTTCCACACCCAGCACGAGCGGTCGGGTGTTTCTGGGGTCACGGGGGAGGTGCTGGACACCCCTACTTGCTGCCATTTGTGTCCTGTGTCCTTCCACAGCCACTGGAAAGCGGGAAACCCCGAGTGTGCGTGTGGGAATGTCCCTGAGCAGCGGGGAGGGGACGGGGCAGGGGAGATAACGCGACTTTTCCGGCCCCGCTTCCCCAAGGACACAACGCAGCGGAGCCAAAACAGCTCCGGCTGCCCCAAGGACGGGTGGAGCTTCCCCAGCCGGGATTATCCAGCAGCACTGGGAGCTCAGGGCTTTGGGAACAACCCCGAATCCCACCTCTCACCCCCAAACCACCCCCTCCGTGTGCTCCCACTGGCCCCGAAGGACGCCCCGGGAGCAGCTGAGTTTTCCCATGATTTATTTGTGTTTTGAGATTACAGAGTCTTTATTGCTGATCTAATACAATCACTCAGACATTAATATTTAAAACATCCTTTTGAAATGTTACGGGTGCGACGGTTCCGTTCCCTCCCTGCTGATGACGGGTTTTGCTTTGTTATTCCTAAAAGTTCAGGACAGAATTAAATTTCCTTTTTATATGATTTTGCTGGTGTTACCTAAAATCTCCTTTTTTTTTCCTAAAGTCTTGGAAAAAAAAAAAAGGCGTTACATTTAAAAAAAAAAAAAAAAGGATAAAAGAAACCAAAGCCCATTAACATTTAATTTAGAGATGATCACAGGATATGATTCCAGGTTGATTAGGAAAAAGCCAAGCGAGCCAAGAAGCTTTACAGGAGAAGCAGAACACGGAGAAGAGTCTCTGGAGAATCGAGGTGGGAAAGGCCAGGTGGGATTTTATTACTGATAATTTTTGTTTTCCCCCTCTTATCTACCTGGCAGATGAGCCGGGCTCGGGGGATCCGTGGGCGAGCAGCACCCCTGGCTGCGGCACGAGCGATGGACGCAGGAGCAGCGGCAGGAGCTGCTCCGGAGGGTCCTGAGGGTGGAAAGGGGTTTTCCCGGGGCGGTTGGGACACCTGTCCTTCCAGGAGCTGCTCCCACGTGGCCCCACAACCCCCTGTCACTCAGGCCGGGAGCAGATTCCAGGCGGGGCCTCTCCGGGAACTCGAGGCTGGCACAGACCAAGGCAGATCCGGGACATTTCCAGTGGCTCAGGGGACTCTTCCCAAAAAATCTCAGGATCTGGATAAAACTTGCGGGCAGAGATTATTTCAAGTCTGTGGTTAGAGGTCAGTCTGTGATGAAGCTCCTCAAAGCCTTGAGGTCTCCTCAGAGCCTTCTCAAAGCCTTAACATCTTCCCAAGGTCTCCTAAGGGTCCTCCCAAGGCCTCCTCGAGGTCTTCCCAAGGTCTCCACAAGGTTCTTCCCCAGGTTTTCCTTCCAGGTTTTGGGGGATTTCAGAGACAAACTTGGAACATTTGCTCCAAAGCTCGTGACCAAGCGGAGTTCAGACCCCCTGAGAGCCACGAGAAGGCCTTGGATGCCGAGACCGTAATTCCCCGGTTTTTCCTTCCTTGTGCGTGAATGAGCTGCCACAAAAGGGTTTTTCACGATGGCAAAGAAGCCCATAAGGACAAAACATGACTCTGTAGCTGATGAGAGACTCGGGAACCAAAGCAGCAACCGGGGGATAAAGGGTTTTGTGCTCACGGGGTCGGGCAGTTTTATTTTAGAAGGATCATGTTCTCCACATGGATAATGAAAGTGACTTGGGAAGTCACCTTGGGAAGCGTGTCAGCACTCCAGAGGGACATCCTGGGATAAAACAAGGGACTATGGCCAATTCATTCCCCCTCAGCTCTGACACTTCAAGATCTGAGGCAACTGAAGGGTTTTAGTGACGCTGAATCCGCGTGGAGGATCCTCCACCAGACGTCTCATCCACTCCAGGGGGGCTTCCAGATTCATAAATAAAGGAGTGAAATAATCAACCCAGAAAAGAAAACTCCAAACACTTCCAGTGAGGGCTGAAATGCAGCTGGAGAAAGCCCCGGTGCGGACAGGGGTCCCCCCAGCCGGGACGTCCGGGAAGCTCTGCCTGGATCGGGAAGAGCTCCCGGTGCGTGAGCAGCATCTGCCGGGGGAGCTCCTCCAGCAGCACAGGGGGAGCCCCCCCGGGAACACGGCTTTGGTTGATCCAGAGAGGTTGGCACTGGGGGCGAGAGCAGCAGGAATCGCTGTGGAGCTGTGGGGGCTGAGGGAGCGGCGCTGGCTCTGCCCGCCCGGCCAGCCCTGCCCGGGGCTCTCCCTGCCCGGACCCTTCCCCACAGCTTCCAGCAGCGCTAAGGCGACGTCCTCTGAAGGGCTGGGGGCACCAGCCCTCGGAAAGTTCCACAGCACGACGAGAGGCTTCTCCAGAGGGATCCACGGGGGCGGCTCCGGCCTTGCCAGAGCCTGGAGCGAAGGAGGTGTTTTGGCTTCATCATCCGACAGCAGGAGAAACGCAAACCCATCCCGGGATCCTGCGCCGCTGGAAGAGGCGCTGGGGCGTGGGGGGAACCAACGTGTGATTTCCGTGGCTCCAGCAGCGATAACGGGCCATTCCAGGCTCGATCCCACCAGCTCCTTCCTCATCCTCCCAGCCCCGAGAGAGAACGAATCCAAAGAGAAGAATGAAAGAAACGGGAAAGAAATCCAGCGTGTCCCAGTCCCGCGGCAGCACGAACACCAGTGGCAGAGGCCGCATGAACGGTATCCTAATTTAATAAATAAATAACCTAAAACACATGGTGACTACGGAGCAAGCCCGGCTCGAGCGTGGGAAGCTTGCGCGGGGTCATCCTGTACAGTAGTTGAGAACAGACGTGGGTGCTCGTTCCCCGCCGTTCCCGGGGATCCAGTGGCAGGAATACTCAATATCTGGGCAGAAGGAGAGAAAAGAGGGAGTGGTGAGTGGATGGGAAGGGAAGTGAAGCTCTCCCGGCATCGAAATGATGGATTTTGGGAGGGGGAAAGGCCCAGGGAAGAACGGATGGAGAAGGGATTTGGTCCTCGTTGCCTCTGAGGGCATTCCCACCCCATGGTGGGATGTTTGAGGGGTCGTGGCTCTCCATTAGTGCTTGGACCCTCCCCTGATCCTGAACCTCTGTGTCTGGGACAAACCACACTCCCTACAAGGCTGGGCTACACCACACACCAAAACCAGGCAGAGAATTGAACCAGAGGGAAGAGAATCAAACCAGAGGGAATTCCTTCCAGGGCCATGGGGAAGCACCAGAATTTTGCACCTAATGGGAGCAGGGAATAAAGCTCAGGATTGGCAAAACCCACTCAACCCCAAACTGGGAGTGCTCTGGTTCTGGAGATCTTCTCTCCAAAGACCTGCCCACCAAGAAAATGCCTTTTCCTGCAGGAAAAGGATCTGGGCTTCAGCCCCTGAGGAGCTGATCTGTGTTTGTGCAAAGCCATTTCATTTCCACGGTGGGAATTCACGGCAGCGTTGGCTTCCAACAGAAATCTGGGAAGGGAAGCGACCCAGGGGCTCGTATGGAAAATTATTATTATTTTTGGGAGCTGAGCCCGTCTGAGCAGCCCCAGGGCCAAAGCTGCTCTGTGCCAGCTCATCCTCAGCCCAGCGTTAAAAATAAAGCTGTCGCCGAGCCGGTGGCATCGCTGTGGCATCTGCCACGTCTGGTGACAGCTGCGGCCACCACAAAGGGCTCCTGCCCGGCCAAGAGCCCGTGGGGACAGGAGGGATCAGAGCCCAGGAGGGGCAGGGCCTGAGGGGCAGCACCTGTAGTAGTTTGGTTTGAAAGGTCCGTTCTTGTTCAGCCCCAGGTACTTGGCTTGCTCGTCCGTCAGCTCCGTCAGGTGCGCGTCGAACGTCGGCAGGTGCAGGCTGGCCACGTACTCGTCTGGAACCACCCCAGAGCCCGTTAGCGTGGCCAGGGGGACAGCCATGAGTCCCCCGGGGCCGGTGCAGAGCCCACCAGACACCTCTGGTGGGTGACACCGCCCCCCAGCCTCAGAAAAAACACAACTCCCACCACAGAGCCCGTTTTTTGCAGCCAAAGCGTGGCCGTGTCCTCGGGAGGGGGTTCTGCTGCTGGGGCTGCTGCTTGGTGACCACACTCTGCTGGCAGGAGCCCCGTGGGACAACCCCCTGCACTGGGACAAGCCCCTGCACTGGGACAACCCCCTGCACTGGGACAAGCCCCTGCACTGGGATGTGTCCACCTCTTTTCCCCAGGTGGGACCAGGAAACAGCAACAATCCCCAAAACCAGCGGGAAGAACCTACTGGAAACCCCCGAGCTTGGCAGGGAGTTGAACAAGCAAACGTCCCAGCCCAGTGAAAATTCCCGTCTGTCCCCTCCCCAGACCCCCAGGGAGAAGGGGGGAGCAGGGGGTTACCCATTTTTTTAGGCAGCAAATACACGTCCTGCTTGTAGCGGCCCTCGGGAGCGTTGTACAGCTCTATCAGAGCCAGGGCCTGCGGGAGGAGACAGCCGGGTGAGGATCTGCTGCCCCCGGGGCAGGACGGGCTCCGGGCACCCCCCACCCACTCACCTGCGTGGTGGCCGTGATGGACAGGACGAAGGTGGGGACGGTGGAGCAGCTCAGGTTCAGCAGGCGGCCCTGGGGAGGGAAACCTGGGTGTTAACAAATCACCAAACCCACTCCACGGCCCTGCAGAAGGTACCAGAACCACTGGCGTGAGGTGTCCCCATGGGGGGAAGCAGTTTGTCACCTGCACTTGGGTCCCGAGGTGCTGGCTGCACTCAATAAGGGAGAAACCTTGGAGTGGGATAAATTAAAACATGGGGGATTTTCCATGTCCCAGGAACTCAGGGGGGACCTTCTGGCTCTGCAAGTCCCTGCCAGGAGGGGGGAGCTGGGGGGGGGTCGGGCTCTGCTCCCAGGGAACAGGGACAGGAGGAGAGGGAACGGCCTCAAGCTGTGCCAGGGGAGGCTGGATATTGGGGGAATTCCTTCCTGGAAAGGGCTGTCCAGCCCTGGCACAGCTGCCCAGGGCAGGGTGGAGTGCCCATCCCTGGAGGGATTTCAAGGCCCTGTGGATGTGGCACTTGGGGACATGGTCAGTGGTGGCCTTGGCAGTGCTGGGGGATGGTTGGACTTTGTGGGGCCAGAAGCTTTTCCAACCCAAATCATCCTGTCATTCCAAGATTCCATGGGCCAAACCTTCCAGCCAGAGGGACCCCTCAGCTGCTGAGGCCCAAGGAGGTGGGTTTTGGATACCCTTCGGCTCCACCGCTCTCCCACCCCTCCTGTTTTCCTCCTCCAGGAGCAGAGAACAGGCTGAAATTCCCCCAGAGAACAGGCAGAGATCCCCCAGAGAACAGGCAGAGATCCCCCCAGAGAACAGGCAGAGATTCCCCCCAGAGAACAGGCAGAGATTCCCCCAGAGAAGCGGCTGCAGCTGCTGCCCCTCCCCTGGCACTCACCTCTGCCAGCAGGACTATCCTCTTGCCGTCTGGCCAGATGACGTGGTCCACCTGGGACCTCACCCTCTCCCAGGTGAGCTCGGGCGTGCGCAGGCTGGCCTGGAGACGGGGTTGGGACAGTGAGAGCAGCACCTCCCACCCCACCCCACAGCACAGGGACCAAAGGAGGCAGAACTCCCTGACACTGTCCTGGTTCCCTGTCTCCTTCGGGCCCAATCGTGGTCCCAGGACAGTGAAATGTTTAGGAATCACAACCTGAGACTGTTTTTATGATCTCAACACATCAAAGCTGCAGCACCAAGTGTCGTGGCAGCTCTGGCTGAAGGGGATTCGTGGTCCCCAGCTGGGCTCTGCATGGCTGTGGTCACTCCTTTCCAGCCCAGAGATGGCTTTAAACCCACAGGCTTGGCTGAGGAACACCCCCCTGACCTCCAGGGAGGGCTCTCCTGCTTTTCTGCCCATCCCTAAGCACAGATGAGCAGATTTTGGGCTGTTTGGAAAAGGAGGGTGGGGTTGAACTCCTGGCTGGGTCTAACTGGTGTAATAACACGAAACTGGGCTGGAGAGGGGATTCAGTGACTGCCACGGGGAAGGAGTGAGGCTGGTGGACACCAGGCACTGCCCTGGAGGCTGGAGCAGGTCATCCAGCTCACTGGCATCCCTTGGGATCGCTGGAATGACACTAGCACGTCTGCCAGTGCCTGCTGAGACACGGGGATGGGGTATTTTACCTCCTCCCAGGGCCTTCCTCAGCTCAGGACAGACAGAGCTGTGGATGGGTCCCCAAAACACCATCACCCCAAACCACCAAATCTCAAAGCACAGTCACCCCAAAACACCATCACCCCAAAGCACTAAACCTCAAAGCACAGTCACCCCAAAACACCAAACCTCAAAACTGTCACCCCCAACACCATCACCCCAGGCAGGGTGACCCCACACCCACCACGTCGATCTCGGTGTTGGAGTGCCCCATGTTGCAGACGATGCAGCTGTTCTTCATCCGGTCCAGGTGCTCCCTGGTCACCACGTTCTTGTTCCCTGCCAGACACCGAAATCCGGGGGTCAGCACCCACCTTCCCTGCGCCCCTCCTCGTGCCCTTCCCTCTGGGAAGGGGTGCAGGTGGTTTTGGGGGCGGATCCCTCGTACCTGTGCAGGTGATGACGATGTCGACCTGTCTGATGACCTCGTTGAGCTTCACCAGCCGGAACCCGTCCATGCTGGGAGGAGAGAGGGGGGAGAAGGGCATGAGAAACAGCAAAAACGTGCCAAAAATAGGGGAAAAAAGTGCTTTTCAGACACTAATTATAGCTTTCCAACGCCAGACTGGAAAACAGGACGGCGGCACCCAAAGGGCCACGGACCCCGAGCCGCTTTGGCAGTTTCTGAAGGATTTGGGGCTGCTGTGGGGAGAAGTGAAAAGACATTTTTTGGGCTTTCGTGTTTTCTGCCAAGGTCTTCTCGTCTGCAAACCTCAGTTCTCAACCCAGACAGGTTTTTTAAAAGCTGCTCCTCCTGCAAAGCACATCCAGGAGCTGCAGAACCCGCGTCGAGGCGGATTTAGATCATCCTAAAAAACACCCCAACCCTGCAGATGTCTCTCCTGAACCCTGAAATCCATATTTAGGCACCTGCAGAACCTTCAGAAGTGCTGAGTCTTCCCTGCCTCCAGCAGCAAGGTGTGTTTGGATAACAGGGGCAGGATGTTTTTGGGATTTGTTGACAGTCCTCCCGAGAGTTCATTTTTGAGACTCTCACAAGCTGCAAAATCGGAGTTACTATAAAAAAAAGCCTTTTTTTTTTTTTTTTTTTTTTTTTGCTGCATGTCCCATTTACTGAGGCTTTTCTTCCCCACTGCAGACTCCTTCCTAGAGGGGCCACACACTGGAAACAACCAAATTCCCAGCTAAGGCTGGGGGTGCTGGATGTGCCACTCCTGAAGGTCTCAGAGGAACCCGAAGTTCATCAGCCCTGCTAATTAAGCAGAGCTCGTTAGTTCTCTCCCCACAATGAGCCCGTGGTCAGGAAAAGGCTGAGGGTTTAATGAGGCTCTGGGTGTTTTCAGGACTCTGCTTTCCCAGTGATGTCCCACCCTGGGGTGTGGGAGCTCCAAACCAGCCTGTTCCTGGAGGACACGAGCTCAGCGGGTGCCCCGCCCTGTGCGGGGTCCTGGTGTCAGTGAGGGGTTTGTGAGGGGTGGGGGATCACAGAGCCAACCAAACCACCCCTTGGTGAGGTGTGTGCACGGCACCGGGGATCCTGTGTTGGCATTCCAAAGGGCACAGCTCATTCCCGACATCAATCCGTGCCACCGAGCTCTGGGCTGTGCGGTTGGGACTGCACCCCCGGCACGGGGGATGTGGATAAACCAGGGGATGCTTGAGCCAGGAATCCTCCTCTGCCCTCAGGACGGAGCTGTGGGTCCCTGCAGGGTGCAGAGAACCCCTGGACACCTCCCCAGCTCCCCTCTGGGAAGGGCTCTGCCCAGTGGATTCCGGACAAGGCTCTGCTGGGATCCCCACGGGGGTTGGGAGCCCTTACCAGGCCTGCAGGGCACAGATGGGGTCGATCTCTGTCACGTACACTATGGAGCCCATGGCCTTCAGAGCAGCACAGCAGCCCTTCCCAACCTGGGAAAACAGGGAGAAATTGGAGCCCAGAGCTGGGGACACCCCCAGCGCCGGCAGGGCCGGGGGAGAATTCCCAGGGATGGACCACTCTGGGAGACTCCTCTGCCCTCCTGGAGCCCTCGGGAACCCTCCTGGTGGCAGATTCTCGATTTTTGGGGCAGGAAATTCCTGGATTTGGAGTCATGTGAGCCGTGGCTCAGGCCCAGCTTCGAGCAGGGGCACTCCAAGGTCCCCACACGCCGCTGGTTTTGTTCCCAGGGAGTTGATTTCCCCCGAACATCCCGGTATCCAGAACAGCCAAAGGAGAGCCCAGAGGGCCAGGCAGAGTTTGGGAGTCCCCTGTGACCTTTGCCCCGCTCGGGGACATTAATGGTCGTTAAGCTGGGAGGGTTAACGAGCTTTGACCTTTGCACAGCACACCCAGGGCGGGGAATCCACGTTAAACGGCCCGAGGGTCCCAAAAATGGGATTATGGGGGAGAAAATGGAGCCAATTCAGCGTTTGGATGAAAGGAAAGAATCCCAGTAGGGCACACACAGCACAGCCCAGGGCACTGGTGTGAACTGGTCCTGAGGGCAGCTGGGAAAGGGGGAATATTCCCACATGGAGAGGGGAAGGGGCAGTTTGGGGGTGCAGGCACAGGGGTTAATGAATATAAGATTCGTATTTCTACAAATTATATGCATATTTATATGCAAATTCATATGAATGGGATGTATTTGTGCACAAATAAACATATTATATACACATTTTTATAAATGTAACATTTCTATACAAATTTATATAAATGTAATATACTTATATACACATTTATATAAATGGAATATATTTATATGCACATTTACATAATTTTAATATATATTTATATAAAAATCCACATAAATTTTATAGATTTATATAAAAATGTGTATAATTTTACATAAATTTATATAAAATTGCATATAAAGCAATATATCTTTATGTACAAATTTATATAAATTAATGTGTTTATACTCAAATTTATATGAATTCGATATATCTGTATAAAAATCCATATAAATTTAATATATTTATATGTTTATACCTTTATATATGCATTTGTATAACTTTTATGCATATTTTTATCCCCTTGTATATAAATCCATATACCTTTACATATAAATTTATATAAATTCATGCATGTTTATACTCAAACTTATATCAATTTTCTGTATGTTTGTATAAGATATAAAGGAATAATTTCTCTTCCTTGGCCACACATCAGTATGGATGGAATACCCACCCGGGAGAGGCCGTGCCAAGGGTGTGCAGGATTCCCATGGGAAACACGGCCCCCTTACCTCCCCATAGCCACAGACCACCACCTGCTTCCCTCCAAACATCGTGTCCATGCAGGATTCCCATGGGAAACACGGCCCCCTTACCTCCCCATAGCCACAGACCACCACCTGCTTCCCTCCAAACATCATGTCCATGCAGGATTCCCATGGGAAACACGGCCCCCTTACCTCCCCATAGCCACAGACCACCACCTGCTTCCCTCCAAACATCATGTCCGTCGTCCTCTTAAGGCTGAGGGGGCAGAAAAAGGCGCAGTTAAAACCAGCACTGAGGAGCTGATCCCAGGATCAGCCGCTGCCCCTCCCGCACACCGCGGCTGGGGCCTGTGCCCCTGGGAATTTGGGGGGCGGACAAGACCCCAAAACCACCTCAACACTGGCTTGTGGCTTTTGTAAGGGTGGGGGCTGCACTGAAACACGACAAACAGGGCAGGAGTTGGGTTGGGAGCCCTTTTTGCTGTTGCTTGTTATTTGCTGACCCTTTGTTTGCCACTCAGGAAATACTGAAAACCTTCGGCAAAACCGCTTTTTTCTCCGTTTGTGTAAGTCCAAATATCCCCCCCAGAGAAGCACAGGGGCAGCAGGGAAGGGGTAACTCACTGCCAGAATCCCAGTGCTTCCCACAAATTAAGCTCCCCCTTCCACTCCCTTTCCTTCTGGTTTCTCCCTAAGAGTGTCCTACATTCCGGGCTATTTTTAGCACAGGAGTAAATAGGTTAGCAGTGCAGGGAAGGTGAAATTCCCTCACTTTTCCGAGAGAATTTGGATAAAACCCACAGCAGATTTAATTGCACCTCTGCTCACGTCTCCCTTGACCCAGTTTTAGATGCCTGGACCAGACTTAACCCAAATCCCAACTTACCCCTCAAGGGGTTGCCATGGAATCCCAGGATGGGTTGGGTGGGAAGGGGCCTGAAAGCCCATCCAGTGCCACCCCTGCCATGGGCAGGGACACCTCCCGCTAGCCCAGGCTGCTCCAGCCTGGCTTTGGACACTTCCAGGGATCCAGGGGCAGCCACAGCTTCCCTGGGAAACCCATTCCCATGTTTTACCCCCGTCATTTTCCCCATTATTGCTGCCTTGGAAAATGCTGCCCAACGTTAGAGCTTTATGGATTGCTCATGGAATGTGTCACAGCCGAACTGCAGGAACAAAACCTGTCCTGACCTCACTCGGCCCCAACAAAATTTGGTGGTGGGAGAGGCGAGGACACAGACACCCAACTGCACCAAAATAAAGGCAGTGAAGAGAAGGAGGGAGCAAAACAAAAAAAAAAGATCCCTGAGGATAAAAAAAGGGAAAGTAGAAAGGCAAAGAAGGTTGGGAGGAAGCCGCTGTTCCCCTCACACCCGCCACGGACACAGACAGCTTTTATCCCTGTCCTCAAAGGCCAGGGGGACAGGAGGGAGCCTGTGAGGAACTCTGAAGTGCAGCACAGGTAATGAAGGGTCTTTGCTCTGCTCTCACACATCAGTTGGGCTGAAATGATGGGAGCTGGAGCAGGGCAGAGCCGGGGGTGCCATTCCCTGTGGGATCCGGGGGTGTCCGGTGCGTACCCGTCCAGGATGGACTCCCTGCAGCAGTACAGGTTGTCAAACTTCTGCTTGGTGACAGAGTCGTTGACATTCATGGCTGGGACACAGAGCTTTCCCGCCTTGGACAGCTGGTACAGCCTGGGTGGAGATGGGAAAACAGGTCCTCAGTGGGGAAACATTTCCCTGAGCTCTGCTGTGGGGTCTGGGCGGGAAGGGATTTAAAGAGCATCTCATTCTACCCTCCCAGCCAGCAATTCCTTCCCAATCTCCCATCTGTCCCTGCCCTCTGGCACTGGGAAGCCATTCCCTGTGTCCTGTCCCTCCAGGCCTTGTCCCCAGTCCCTCTCCAGCTCTCCTGGAGCCCCTTTAGGCCCTGCAAGGGGCTCTCAGGTCTCCCTGGATCCTTCTCTTCTCCAGGTGAACCCCCCCAGCTCTCCAACATCAACCTGCCCTCCTAATTCCAAGCACAGACTCGACCCCCAGCAGCAGCAAAACCACTGAAAATGAAACCAGACCTGTCACTGGGGCTTCAAAGAGAATCTGAAAATGTCCCTGCTCCAGGACTTGGGAAGAAGAACATGCTTGGAAAGCTCTTTTGCCCATATTGGGAATGATTCCAGATACTAAAAATACCATCAGTCCTTTTCCTGACCCCACTGGCTGCAGACCTGAATTCACTTCCCTGTTTCAATATTTCATTTCCCTGTTTCGAGGGCTGCCTGAACCTCTGGCCAAACTCCCAGGCAGCTCCAAGAGCTGCAGCCAAACCTTTCTCCCTGCAAAAAGAGAGCAAAAAGCAGAGGCTGCTGCTCTTCTCCCCAGTTCCCTGGTCCCTGGGATAGGATTAACTCCCCTGGGAAAGCCACTTCTCCCACTCCACCTCTGCTCCTGCCATGGACTGATGGATTCCACTGAGCCATCTCTGAGGGCTTCCCTTTGTGGGACCCCACCCCAACTGGAGAATCGGTTCCTCTTCCCAAATCTCACTTCTTCCCAGAGATTTAGGTCAGGACTACACTTCTGGCTTTGTCCTCAGCCCACCCCTTCCTGTGCAACACCCTCAGCCCTTCCTCTTCCATCTCCAAAAGGAGCTGAGTAACCACTCCTCCTGCCTCCCAGGTGGAAAACACGACCTCGGGCCCCTTCCCACCCCCTCAGCGCTCGGGAGGGGCTTCTGCTCCCTGCCTGGAGCTCAGAGCAGCAGCTCCGAGCGGGAATGGATGAGGGATTTCAAACATCTCTCCTGGAAAGCCAAGCCCAGGCTGCAGGGACAGCACAGCCCCCGTGCTGGGGGTTCACCCTTCAGGTGACCTGGGGTGTCCCCCAGTGGGGGGGCCTCTGGCACCAGAGCCCTGAGGTGTTTCTGTCCCAAATTCTCCTGCCAGCCCAGCCCATCCGTTACCTGTGCACTCCTGTCACGCTCTCCTCCACTATCCCCTTGATCTTCTTGAACATGTTGGGATATTTCTTGTAGATCCAGTGAGTGAGATCTCCCCCATCATCCAGGATCTGGAACGAGAACAACCCCAGTCAGTGCTCTGAGGGCCCAGTGAGGCCTCCAGAGCCCAGAGAGGCACCAGGGATAAATCATTCCATGTTCTGGCACCTCAGACACCACAGTGGGAGTCAGGTGGGAATACTCTGGTTGAGCATTCCCAGCAGGAATGCTGCTTCATCAGCAACGTCCTGGAAAGGCAACAACAGGTCAGGCAAACACAGCAAACTTTGGTGTTAATGAAAGGACTGAGGAAATGTGGAAAGTGGCTGTGCAGGCTCCTCTCTCACCTCCCAGAAGCACAGATGGAAGAACCTTTGAACTGGACAGAGCCATCAGCTTTTCTGATATGGGAAATGGTAATGGAGGAGGATGGAGAAAGAGCAGGATGTAAAAGGAGGAGGGTGAAGTGCCAAGGAACTGTGCTGACCAGACTGGCTGAGAGAGACTGTCATCATCATCATCATCTTCTTCACAGTCACTGTCATCATCATGATTCTCCTTACATCATCATCATCATCATCACCACCATTTCACCCTTTTTGCATGTTCCCCACTCCCACACCAAAGAACTCTGACTGCATCACCATCACCCTCCTCTTTGCCTGTTCCCTACACTAACATCAGACTTCTCACTTTATCATCATCATCATCCCCTTCTTTGTCTGTTCCCTACAGCTCCTGGTGTGGCCCAGGGGTGTCCCAAAATCCAGCCCTGGGCAGAAGCGTCTCCACTCACTGGCTGCCAGTGGAGCTCGGCCAGGACCCTCCTGCTGGAGGGTGTGCAGCTTCCCAGCAAAAATGAACACTCCCCCCCAGGGCAGAAGCCCCATTTGACATCCCTGAGCTTTGTCACAGAGCCATCCATGGACAGAGAGTTCCTTGGGAATGTTCTGTATTTTCACACCCTTTTCTCTCAGAATGGCTGGATCTGCCACTGCTGTGCAGCAGCTGCTCCTCCAGAACGTCTGGGAAGCACATGCAGAATGTTTAGGAGCATCCATGCAGATCCAGCTCTTGAGTCTCCAGGGAATTCCCAGCTCCGTGTTCCATCCACAGGGAAGTAGAGGCTGGCAAGGGTTAAGAGGGCTGGGGAGCTGTGCTGGGCCAGCCCAGGTGGGAATTCAGCAGCCTGGAGTCGAGCAGCCTGGCTCCCAGGACGTCTCCATTTCATTAATCCCCATTTAATAGGGCACATAATCCTCTTCTAAGAGAGAATTCTGGGAGCTGGAAGCTTCCTCTTTCCTGGGAGAGCAGGGGATGTAAAACCCCGAACTGAATCCAGGGGGGAACTGGTTTTTGAGGGAAGGTCACCTTTGTGTGGCAGCCCCGACCCTCCAGCAGCAGAGCCTCACATTCCTGCAGTTTTCCCAGCTTTATGCAGCCTGTTTGCCCTCATTCTCATCCTTCCAGGCAGGTTTGTTTTTTTTTGGGGGGAGGGAAAGGCCTTTATCTGAGGTGCAGATAGTTTCTCCTGCAGAAGAGCAGCTGTTCCAGGTGGGAGCCTTGGTAGGTGTTTCTCTCCCAGTGCTTCTCTCTCCAAGCAGACAAATTCCCATTGCTGTCCCTTCTCCCTCCCTCAGCTCTTCCATCTCCTGTTTTCTCCAGCAGAAAACCTCTGGCTCTTCCAGGAAAGAAACTGGTGTCTCCAGGTGCCATTTGAGCACCTCTTAACCCCACCCCAGCCCCCGTTACCACCTCGTCTCCCCCTGTTCCCTTCCCAGCTTCCCAAACCGCAGCACGTGGCTGATCCTGCCCCGACCAAGTGGATTAAAATCGCCCAGGATTAGCTCAGCAACGTGCCTGAAAATAATTTGCTGCAGAAAATGAGTGAGGAAAACACAAGGAGATGGCAGGAGGGAGTGGTGGGAGGTGGCACCGCAATCCGCTGGAGGCAGCCCAGGTCCTGGGTCAGGACACCAACCTCCCAGCGCTGCAGATTCCGTATTTTTCAGGAAAAAAAACTCCTCTCTGAGCCATTCCTGTCCAGAGAGAGCCCCACTCTGAAGATCAGCATTCCCAGAGCCCTGCTCTGAAGGTCTGGATTCCCAAAGCCCCACAGTGAAAGTCTGTGGTTCCTCCTCGTGAAGGTCAGCATTCCCAAAACCCTGCCCTGAAGTTCAGGAATCCCAGAGCCATTCCTTGAAGGTATTTGATTCCCAGAGCCATCCTCTGAAGGTCTGGATTTCCAAAACCCACCTCTGAAGGTTAGAATGTGTGGGGAGTGAAGCTGTGGCTGCCCCTGGATCCCTGGGAGTGTCCAAGGCCAGGTTGGAGCAACCTGGGACAGTGGGAGGTGTCCCTGCCCGTGGCAGGGGGTGGCCCTGGATGGGCTTTCAGGCCCCTTCCCACCCAAAGCATCCTGCTTCCATGATTCCACGATCCCTCAGCCCTGTTCTTCCCCCTGTTTCCAGGGCCCTATTTCCTATCTCTAAACACAGGGATGTCCAAAATGCAGCCTGCAAATCCCTGGGGATAGATCCGAGGCACTTGGTGCTCCCCTCAGTTATCCCTGTGCTCCAGAAGCTGCTCTGAACACAGTTCTGATGGCTGCAGGCATGTGAAGGGTCCTGAGGAGATCCTGGGAAAGCAAAATGTGCCTTTTTTCCAGGACTTGTTCAAACGGCGCCGTTTCGGATGGGAAATGGTTCCTCAAACGCTGTCTGGACTCCGACTCGGAGCCTGGGGCTGGATTTTTTTGACACTCCCGATTCTTTTCAAAGGTGACAGCGAGGGGATGCAGAGGTTTGGCTGGAAGGGACAAAAACCCCACCTCAAAGGAGCTGACATCAGCAGAAAACCAACCCAGATCCGCCTTTATCCTCCACCTCTCACTGCTTCCCATCTAATTCAGATCACAAGCTCCAGGGCTCCAAAGCTTTGGGGAAACAGCACGAAAACAGCACATCTGACAGCTGAAAATTATTCCACTCACGTAGTTCCAGGTTCTCTGTCTTCCCTGGAAACGAGGGCAGGATAAAGCAGCCAAGGGGAGTTGGGTTACCTGAGGTTTTGTGTTCCTACAGTGAGAGCAGGTTCAAAGTGTGGAAATCACCTGAAAAGCCGAGTTTTGTACTGGAACAGACGCTTTGCTTAAGTAAGAAAAAATCCCATCAACCAAAGGTGAGAATTTAATGGTGAAAAGGATGAAACCTCTTCTCAAAAAATATTGATTTTGAGCCATTTTCAGTGGGTGGATTAAATGAGTTTGGTTTAAACCGTAGCAAGACACTCTGGAATCAGACTAAGCACCCAGAAAACTCTGCACTTAAGGCAGCTGTGCTAATTTAGAAAGGAGTTCAACAAAACCTTGCTTGGTAGGCAAGACCCAGAAGCCATTTTAACCCGCCTTGTCCCTGACTCCACAGCTGGGAGAGCAGCAAAAAGTTCGTTTCCCACAGGACACAGCTCACTGTAAAGCACTCTGGAGGTAAGAGAGGCGTGGCCTGTCCCCCCCACTCACCATGTTGGGCTGCCAGCCCTCCACGTTGACACAGCGGTCGATGCACCACCAGAAATCATCTTCGGATTCTCCCTTCCAGGCGAAGACGGGGAACCCTGGCACGGAGAGGGAGAGGTGCCAGCACAGCCTGGGCAGACCCTGTGGGATCAGCCCTCCCCACACCGCCAGCCCTGCCTCCAGCCTGAGCTTCTGCACCTCCAGCCTGAGCTTCTGCACCTCCAGCCTGAGCTTCTGCACCTCCAGGATGAGCTTTCAACACCCCCCTTCCAGGAGAAGCTCTGCAGGCTCACACAATTCACACACGCAAGGCAGCCCTGGGAGCTGCCTTCAGCCTTCCTCCCTTCTTCCTCTCCCTCAGGAGGGAGTGCACCCACCAGACCAGAGGACAACACGCTCTGAGCCATGGTATTTATTTCCAAAATGAAGATTTCCCTGAAAATTAGCCTAGTTAGGCATGTCAGCCACTAATTTAATAATGAATTAATAATAATGCATTTGAACATACTCTGATTTATGAGCAATTATTACAGAGGTCCAGGGAGTGAGACCTGGTAATGGGCAAGATGGTGGGTTTGGCTTCTTAGGGGGCTTCCAGGTCTCATGGTCAAACCCCTGACCTCACCCAGGTAAAACCCCTGACCTCACCCAGGTAAAACCCCTGACCTCATCCAGGTAAAACCCCTGACCTTACCCAGGTAAAACCCCTGACCTTACCCAGGTAAAATCCCTTGCCTTACCCAGGTAAAACCCCTGACCTCACCCAGGTAAAACTCCAGATCTCACCCAGGTAAAACCCCTGACTTTACCCAGGTAAAACCCTGACCTTACCCAGGTAAAAGCCCTGACTTCACCCAGGTAAAATTCCTGACTTCACCCAGGTAAAACATGATTTCAATCTCCCAGGTGAGCACCAATGTGCTCAGCTTCTTTTTTTTATGAATCGTTTCCCCCTCAAAGTCTCTCTTTTGCCCCTTTTAGCCAAAGTTCTGACTCAGATTTACAGTATTTAAATCAAACTTAGCTTTGTTCCTCTTAACAAAATAACTTTCAGCTCTGTGTAACCCACTGAGCCCATTAAAGGTATTATTTGTCCCATGTCCTTTTATCCTCCAGATTAAAACCATTCCAAGGTTTCCAGAGCACTGGAAGGGACTGATGGTGTGCTGTTACCTCCTATGGGTTTATTCTAAACCAAAAATAACTAAGGAAAAATAAAAACCTCTAAGAGGCAAAAAAATGAGCTAAAACCAAAAGAAATCTTCACAAAACCCGGGAGGGACAAGGAGGGAGGAGTTTCCTACCGCTCTCAGCCAGGGCAGCAGCCACCTCGTTCAGGGTGGAGTAGATGTTGCAGGCAGCCCATCGGCACTGGGCACCCAGCGCTCCCAGAGTCTCCATCAGCACCTGCAGACCAAAAAACACCGGCAGGGTCAGCACAAGGAGCAACCCACGGCTGGGGGCGTTATCTGCTGCCTCGGGGAAAACTTCTGGGGGCGTCTCTGAGGTTGGGTTTGAGCTTCAAGGCCAGGTTGGATGGGGCTTGGAGCAACCTGGGCTGGTGGGAGGTGTCCCTGCCCATGGCAGGGGTGGGGCTGGATGGGCTGTAAGGTCCCTTCCCACCCAAACCATTCCCTGATTTTATGATTTTCAGGGGCCTCTGAAGTTGGTTTTAAGCTTCAAGGCCAGGTTGAACAAGGCTTTGAGCAACTTGGGGTAGTGCAAGGTGTCCTTGCCCAAGGCAGGGGGGTGGAACTGGATGGGCTTTGAGGCCCCTTCCAACTCAAATCCTTCCAGGATCCAGTGATCCTCTGGGACCCCTGAGGTTGGTTTTAAGGAGCATCAGGCTTGTTAGAAAGTTGCACAGAGAAGAATTTTGCATCCTTTTAAAAGGATAACATAAATAGAAAACTTCAAGGTATATTTTTTTATATATATATCTATGTAGAGATTCCACTCAGCCAAGTCCCAAATCCAGCCAGGAACAAGCACTCCTGCCTGGTGTTGGAGGGGAACTCACAGCTCCTCATGCCTGCATTAACCCCCTGGGGGCTGTTTGAGGGGCTGAGCAGTGGAAAAGCCCCGTGGGGGGTCAGGGCCAGCCTTACAGCTGTCTGGGCTGTGATGTGAGTGCAGCCCACGATCTTGGCCCCGGCCAGCGGCTTCTCTCCCTGAGCTCTCTTCCTCAGAGCCATCAGCGCGGGCATCTCTGCAGGGAGAAGGGAAAACAAGCCCGTGAATGCCATGGAAAGAGGGACAAGGACAAACAGCAGCCCCACTTCCTGCCCCTCTGTCTGCTATTCCCATGAACTGGCACAGCTGGGGCAGCTTCCAAAGGAGCCAAAGCCTCGTGAGCAAGCCCAGATAGGTGAAAAGGACCCGATACCCCTCTGGATTGTTTCCCTGCTGTTTTGGATGTAGCATCAGCACACGTTCAAATTTCTGCCTGCAAGTTCCCAGGTGAGGCTGGAGGAAAATCTGCTTCAGACTGAGGGGAACTTGGGGCTTCCTGCCCTGCCCCACTTCTCCAGTGTCCCTCCAGCTTCCTAAACTCTTTGCTACGGATTTTTGGAGATAATCAAGCTGAAATTTATTGAATGGATTTCATCTTTTCCACTGATTTTAATGAAATATGTCTGACTGCAGAACAGCCCTTCAGTAGTTGTTTGGTTGGAGACACCTGGCATGGCCCTGGAACTCCCCTCCCACCCCACAACATCCCACCAGAGCTTTCCCACCTCTAGCAGGTGTCGAGAAATCACCAACACACTGAACTTCTGAGGGGGGTTGGGGGAAGGAAGGACCCCACAAGACAAGCCAGGCTGAGGTGGAGCTGGAGGGAGGTGCCCCTCTTACCCTGCTCAGCAATCTCGATCTCCCTGCGCCCGAACTCCGCCTGTTTGATGTTCTTGACGCAGAAATCGCTGCTGCCCTTGGAGTTCTTCTGCTGCTTGTCCCGGGGGGAGGTCTCATCGTCAGAGCTGTCCGTGTAGGAGGCAGCTGGAGGGGGGAAAGGGGGTCAGAAGCAGAACAAAACGCTCCCTGGGGCCGGAGCACCCGCAGATGACCCGCGGCCGAGCGTGGTCGTGGGTGAGTCTCTCCACGTGCAGGTGCCACCTCCCTCCGTCCTCAGCTGGCATCTCCCCTTCTCCCACAGGGACCATCTCCCCAGGCTGTTCTACCTCACTCTTATCTGTAATTAACAGAGCCCTTGTCCTCCACGGGCTCACCTCCGTGGCCTTCTCCCATCTCTCTCCCAAAATTCCAGCCTTTGCAGCTCTGAGGGAGCCACCACAAGCACCTGTTACTGTTTCAGGTCCTTCCACAGCTGTAATTTGAGGCAGCACAGACACAAGCCCCTGTTTCATTCCAAACAGGTGGATTAGCCAGGCATGATGGCATTCCCAGCCCTTGGATTTGCTCAGTTTTGATGCCCCTCAGTAAGGACCGGGAGTTGCTCACAAGGAAAGTTGTGAGGAAGAAACTCCTTCCTTGGGAGGATAACACAGCACTGGCATGGACTGTCCCCAGAGCTGGTGGCTCTCCATCCCTGGGGGGCTTCAGGAATGGGTTAGAGAGCCATGGATCACCTGATCCCACATGGATCACGGTGCCATGGAATCAGATTAAGCTGCTGGTTTAAGACTGGGCATGGATGTGTCAAAAATTGTCTTCCTCTCCTATCAACGCCCTCCAAACTTCTGGTTATGGAGCTGGGCTATGGCAGACCCGTGCAGGTGAATGGACAAGCCCTTCATGGAGTCAGAAATCCCCCTTCCCACTTATTTTGATTACTAAAATCATGTCTGCTTATATAAAATCACATCCATCTTCAGTCTGAGTCACGATGGATTAACCAGCACCTCTCCTTCCACTTTGGATCAGTCTGAGGAGATTATTTGTGCCATGTTTGCCCCTGCTGTGGGAAACCAAACCTCTTTCATCTTTTAGTTCTGGCACCAGCAGTCAAAGCAGCGTGATGAACCAGAAATCACTGCTCCTCTTCCCTTTCCAAAGGACCTTCCCAGGACCCAACCCAAAAGCCTCGTTGCCCCATTCCTCATTAAACTGCCTGGAAGTTTCACTCCCAAGCCTTTGCTCCCCACGTCACGTGGAACTCGTCACATGAACCCGAGACCTGTTATCCAGCCCAGCGTTCCAGAAGAGGATCTCCTGGCTGGAGCAGCCTTATCCATGGCCCCAAAGGCTCTGCTCCAGAGGAGGCCGCCGTGGCGGAACAGCCCCGGCCGTGACATCACACCGTCTGTTCCAGAAGGGGGTCTCTGTGGTGGAACAGCCCCGTCCAGGACGGCCCTGGAGGTTGCCCAGTGTTGAGGGTCGCTCCAAACGATGGACACCCCACGCCCTGAGGGGCCCTCTGTCCTCCCCAGCCCTGCAGTGTCCGGCAGGGAATGCTCCACAGCCCAAGGGAGTTGCTCTCCCCGGTGCTCAGGACACATTCCCAGTTTCCACCCCAGTGTGGAATTAGGCAGCAGGAAGGGTGAGGGGTTCTTACAGCATCCTGGGGACATGGTTGAACCATGGTCTCCACCACCCCCAGTGCTCCCAGAGAGCCTTCCAGGGGCATCCAGACCTCAGGTGGTGACTGATTCCGACAGCCCCTCCAGAGAACTCGGAGTAAAGGAAACCTCCCTCTGCCCAGAACGGCTCTGGGGGCATTTCCACACCAAAAAAACCCCAAACCAAGGAGTTAAACCCTCCACCCCAGCCCAGCCATGGGTTAGTGTTTCCTGCAGGACCCAACCAGGTGGCTCCTCTCCCTCCTGGCTCCCGGGAAGCACTTGGATGATGCCAAGGAAAAAGGCTTAGTGCAGTTCTGTGGGAGCACCAGGGACCCACAGGGATCCTAACCCGCTTACACAGGGAATTAGGCATTGCTGGAATTCCTCTGGGAAGGCTCCATCCTCAGCAGGGTGTGAAAGGCAAGTCCAACCCTGCAAACCACCCTGAATTCCACAGCCCTGCAGGCCCAGGAGCCTGGATTAATGACAAACCTTACATAAAACCAAACCCTCGGAGAGCAAGGGCTCCAGGAGGAAGGATTAATTGGGTAAAGGAGGATTATTTCCTTGAAGACAATTAATCTGGGCAGAGGTTTCTTTAAAACCAGCAGTTTTGGGGGCTGGGGGCTGAAAGTAATTTTTTAAACAAACAAACAAACCAAAAAACCAACACAACAAAAAACCCGCTGCCTAGAGTGGCCAGATTTTTGTGTGTAGCTGGTTCTTTACTGCTAAATACATCTAATATATGGAAGTGTTCACAGAGCTGTGGCAATTAAATGAATATCATCAGTGTAATAGAACATAATAATTTGTAACAGTCAGTTTTGCCTTTGCTTTTCTGTCAAACGAAAAACAAACACGGAAATGAAAGGATTCCTGTCATCTGGAAATATCCAATTAACTGATGGATAGGCAGTCTCCTAATTATCATCTCAAATCACCCAAAAGTTGATTAATGAGAACTCCCTGCCTGGGGCTGGCAATTCTGTGGAGCCATGGAGCATTTTAGTATAAATTATATTATTTGTATTATGTGTTTGTATCTCTGCCTGGAGAGGTTGGCTGGGGACCCCAAATCCCTGGGAGTGCCCAAGGCCAGGCTGGACGGGACTTGGAGCTACCTGGGCCAGTGGGAGGTGTCCCTGCCCATGGCAGGGGGTGTCACTGGATGGAAGTTTGTGAAATTTCAGTAAAATTTAAGCCAAATTAACCCAAACACCCCCTGGACTCCAGGGCAGGGCTCCCAGGGCAGTGCCCTTCCCTGACTGGCAGCAGCAGATGTTGATAAAACACCCAAGTGTGTCCTGGGGCCAATAAATCGCTCCCAAATGGTGCAGAAAACAGTTAATTTCCCCAGTGAGAAAAATCAGTCACTTTAAATAGAGTGGAGCAATCACAGAAAACTGGCAGCTCGTGGCAAATCCGGGTGAGGGACTTGCAGTTCCAATTGGAAGAGGGGGATCAGCACTGATGGTTTTGTCATCCCTTGGACTTTGCAGCAACTGAGAGATGAAGTTTTCCTGTTCCACAGGGTCTCTGCTGGTTTGTCATGGAATTATGGAATGGTTTGGATTGGGGTTGACCTTAAAGATGATGTTGTTTCATTCCCCTGCCGTGGGCAGGGACACCTTCCACTGGCCCAGGTTGCTCCAAGCCCCATCCAGCCTGGCCTTGGGACACTTCCAGGGATGCAGGGGCAGCCACAGCTGCTCTGGGCAAGCTGTGCCAGGGCCTGCCCACCCTCATTATTCCAGTTTGGATGGGCAGGAAGAGCAAGAACCCACAGCTGTTTGCACACCCATCCTTGCATCACTACAACAGCACTGGCACTGCCCTGTAATTCTGGACCAGGATGATGGAAAACCATTCCCAGAAGGTCTCAGGGAAGAGCTGTTTGGTTTAGGGCCACTGCTTCACTCATGTCCATCACCTCCAAACCCTGAGACCTCCCAGCACTTTGTGGGTGTGCAGGGCAGGGAAGGGAGCTGGGAAAGGGCTGGAGAACTCCTGAGGGAGCTGGGGGGGCTCATCCTGGAGAAAAAGAGGCTCAAGGGGGACCTTCTGGCTCTGCAAGTCCCTGCCAGGAAGGGGGAGCCGGGGGGAGTCGGGCTCTGCTCCCAGGGAACAGGGACAGGACAAGGGGAAACGGCCTCAAGCTGTGCCAGGGGAGGCTCAGGTTGGATACTGGGAACATTCCTTCCTGGAAAGGGCTGTCCAGCCCTGGCACAGCTGCCCAGGGCAGGGGGGAGTCCCCATCCCTGGAGGGATTTCCAAGCCCTTGGGATGTGGCACTTGGGGACATGGGTCAGTGGTGGCCTTGGCAGTGCTGGGGATGGTTGGACTTGATGTCTCTGAGGGCTTTTCCAACCTACATAATTCTGTGAATCTTCCCCTCCATCATCACCTCCCTTCTCCTCATGCTGCCTCTTTTCCAGCCTTTTCCCATCCCAGGAGAACTTAACGGGTTGTTCAGACTGTACTGCTGTTCAGTCTGAGAAGGGGAACAACAAAGACCCAGTTCCAATGGGATTTATCCCTCCATCCATCCATCCATCCATCCATCCATCCATCCATCCTGCAGCCCCCAGGGGAACTGAAGTCTTCCATCCTGACTGCCATCCTCCCCCTTTCAGGAGGAGGGAAATTCAACATTCCCACAAGCTCATTAATTGCCACTGCCGGTGCTTCAGCAGGAGATGGGGAGTGCAGGGAGGACTGGGGAATTCCCCAAAGATATTCCAAGTTCTTCCAGCTGTGAATGGGGAGATGACATGATGACATGGGCCAGGCCAAGCAGAACAACAGTCTTGAAAACTGACAGTCCCAAAATACTGGCTGGTGCTCGGGGGTTGGATGGAGCTGTGGATTTAAGGTGGGAACAGAGCCTGGGCTGATGTGTCCCTCTGGAGAGGACAGTGTGGTCCTGTCTCCTTGTCTCCAGCAATCCTTAGGATCAGGGAAACGAGTGGAGAAACACAAAGGAGAGTTTCAGGAGGACCTCTGGCCACCAGCCAGGTCTGCTGCAGTGTCTGAACCATCAGCCAGGAGCTTCCTGAGGTTTTTACCCTTAACTAAACCAGAGTTTTAAACCTCTCACTGGGTGGGATGAGGTTTGAGCAACCTGGGATAGTGGAAGGTGTCCCTGCCCATGGCAGGGGCTTGGAATGGGATGATCTTTAAGGTCCCTTCCAAGCCAAACCATTCCATGTTTCCATGTAACTACTCAGCATCTCCCCAGGCTCTCCTCAAACACTGCCAAATATCAAAAAAACCACATTCAGAGAGTTTCACTGCTCAGACTCCAGCAGGAAAAACACCTTCAAAAAGACCCTCAAAGGTCCCCATTGCCCTTCCAAAGGCTCCAATCTCACGTGCCACAGGTAAGTCCAAACCTACAGTGGGATCCACGTGGATTTGTTCAAGAACAGGAAGGGAAGGTGACAGGAAGGGAGGCACGAATAGAATGGAGAAACCTTGTTTTGCTGAGCCTGGAAGGAAAAGGAAGGGGGAGAGAGGAGGGAAGGCAGCAGGAACTGCAGATGAGGGGTTATAAGGAGAGATGAGAAGCGTTAAGAGCATCAGAATGACTTAATTTTCCATCCAACTTACGTGAGGACGAGGGAAAAAAAAAAGCAACAACCCTCTTTGCATGCCTGCCCTCCCACAGGACCGACCCCCCAGCACGTCTGGGAGATTCCTGAGGGAAAGCCAGGACGAGTGGCAGGGTCTGTAAAGGCTGGAGAGCCTGCCCCCCTCACCTGAGCTGTAGCTGTCTGTGGAGGACTGCGAGATGGAGCGGGACAGGGAGCGGCGGCCGATCTTCGACGGGCGCTTGTTGAACTCCTGCTTTTGGTCGGCAAACTGGATCTGGGGGGACAAACCAGGGAGCTGGGTCAGGTGGGAAACACCCAGCACAAGGTTAACCCCAAGAAGATTAACCCCCAAAGCCTCGAGCAGACCCCGACACTGGCCCAGTTACTGAGCCACAATTCCCGTTGTTTATCGGGCACAGGACACGCTCAATTCCCAACTTTGTTTAATTCCAGGCCCTCCAGCAGAGGTTAGAGATGTCACTCCAGGCTGTTGCAGCCGTTGGAGAACACAGGTATTTAAGAATATTGTATTTAAGAGCACACAACTTTACCCAACAAATCAAGGCATTTAGGCTGAGCCATCAGGCCAAGGCAGTTCTCCAGGCTGGATTTCCCAGGAACATCCACAGTGAGCTGCAGCCATGGATTAACACCAATATTTGGTGGAGTTTTGCTCAGTGAAGAGCCAAACCCTGTTTCCACCTCTATCACCACCAAGGAATGAGGATTTCAGGCTCCCCCGAGACCCTGAGCACAGGAGATAAATATTTAAGCCAGCAAAGCTGATCTGCTCCAAGCACACAAGGACAGAAGGGAAAAGCAAATTTCCCATTTTAATAGGGAAATGACATTTAACCCTGGTACTCTCAGAGGAATCATTTTCTCTGGGCTTTGTTGTCCTCCAGCCTTTGGTTGTCAAGAGCAGCAAGAGGAACAAATAATCAGTATTTCTTTATTTCCTCAGATCCAGGTTTTCACACGAGCCAAATATCTGCTCTGACAGGGGATTTTAGAGTAGAGACTCAGCCCTCCTGTGTCCTGGATGTGCACCTTGGGTTGGACTTGGCTTAACTCTTCCCTGCTCACATCAGCACCAATCAGACACATCTCCCAGCAGCTCAACATCCCTTTTAGTTCATGGAATCCTGGAATGGGTTGGGTTGGAAGGGACCTTAAAGCCCATCCAGTGCCACCCCTGCCATGGCAGGGACACCTTCCACTGGCCCAGGTTGTTCCAACCTGGCCTTGGACACTTCCAGGGATCCAGGGGCAGCCACAGCTGCTCTGGCCAACCTGGGCCAGGGCCTGCCCACCCTTCCAGCCAGCAATTCCTTCCCAATATTCCATCAAAACCCACCCTCTTCCAGTTTTCTCTGTAGGTGGCTACTGGGCCATATTTAAACATATCCTAAAACTTATAATTTGAGGAAATATGTCCACTCCAAGTGCTCATCTCTTCCTGAGCCAGTCCTTGATGCCCCCACTACACCCACGATTCCTGTTAAATCTCAGGGAAATGGGAATCACGACTTCCAATCGCTTGGACTTTGCTCTGAGCATGAACTGACTGGTTCTGGTGCAACAAGGGTTGGACATTTACATCTCCAAATTACTGAAAGCCATCAGCTGGGTCTAATAACAAACCCCTCGGGGTTTCCTGAGAAGTTCAGTGTCGTTTCAAGGAGTCATTTAAGCAGAAGGAATCAGACCTTGTCCTGGGAATTCCAATGCAAGCTCAGTGGTTTAAGTGGCAGCACTTGAGCTGGGAGGGGAGGGGAAGAGCCTGGGAGAGGATCTGCAGCAGCACCCAGGAGGTTTTTTACCTGCTAATCTTAAACCAACCGACAGAGCGACACCGGATCAGGGAACACACCCGGGAGGGGAAAAACCAGGACAAACTCCCGGTACAGCTGGAGCCACAGGGAGGATTAACAGCCCCAGCCCGGCGGGACGGGGGCTTTGCACACACACCCCTCTAAGTTCCTCCTCTAAGAAGCTGCTGGCCTGAAATAACACCTTTTTTTTTTTTTTCCTTTTTACTCCATTAATCTAAACCAAATCCCCCCCCCGGCTGAGCAGCCCCCCCAAAGCACGGAGTTGTTGGAGTGAATTGACCCTGTCAGGGCAGTGAGAGGGGCTGGGATCCCAAACAAGGGGGAGTCATTTGGACTGGAATGAACATTCCCTTCCCACATCACCCCTCTGAGGACACCCAGTGTGGCTGTTCCAGGCACCGACGTTGGTGACTCTGAGCTCTCTGAGCCCTTCCACACCCAAGCCCAGGCACAAGACCAAGCAAAGGAAGTCCAGAACCACCTCGGGCAGAACCAGAACCAGACTTTATAGCAAGCCCTGCCCTCCACCCCTCGAAGGGTTTGGAGCCCTTTAAACCACAAGACTGGTTCAGCTTTAGCTGAGCAAGGAACCGACCCAAGAGGCTGAAGGAAGCACCAGGAAAGGGAAATGCTGGGAAGGGGCCAGGCCAAGGCTCAGATCTGCTTTTACCTGGTGGTGCCCAACGTCCTCTGAGCAACAGAGGGAGCAGCAAGAAGGGCTGCTGGAATTCCATGGAATCACAGAATGGCTTGGGTTGGAAGGGAGCTTAAAGATCACCCCATTCCAGCCCCCTGCCACAGGCAGGGACACCTTCCACTACACCAGGCTGCTCAAATCCAGAGCAATCCCACGAGGTGACAGACGGCACAACGCATGGTGTTCCGGCTGGGAACGGGGCATGTCCGAGGTGGGGATGAGAGCAGTGGTTTGGCTCGAGCCTGAGCTCGTTCAGCTCACACCAACACTCCTCTGAAGGCAGCAGCCAACCCTGCACAGGCTGGAGCTCCAAGGAGAAGCTCTGAAGCCCCTGAGAGCTGCAGCTCCTTGGATTTAGGAGCCCAACCTGGTCCCGAGGCGCTGCTGCTTTCAACTTGCAGCAGGAAAAACCAATTCAGGCTGGAAAACCTCCCGTCCAGATGTGCAAACTTAGTGACTCCTAAGATCAGGTGTGTGCTCATCACACTTCAAATGAGCCAAGTCTCACTTCCACCCGGGGTTTCCGCCACAAAACTGCGCTGCTTCACCGAGCAAAAGCACTCCCATCATCCAAGGTTTTCCTGGAGAATCTCCCTGCTCTCAACCCCACCGACTCCTCCACTTCAGTGCTCCAAAGAACAACCCCAGAGCAACCTGGTTTGGTTCAGCTTCATCACTGAAAGCTGCTCCCAAGAGAGAAGGGAGAGGAGCCCTCTGGAGATCGGGATCTTCCCTGAGAAATGAGAGATTAAGGAGGGGGGAAACAGCAGGGAAAGGAGGAGGAAAAGAGAGGAACACCATGAACAGAAGAATGCAGTTCTGGTACTAAGAGAGTGCCCTCACCTGGGCTTTGATCCCCGAGTCTCCGTTGACGTTGTACTTCTTCTTGTTGGGCATGGCGGTGTCGGCACCACCATGGGCTGCGCGTCCCTGGGGAGCGGGGACAGCCCCCCATTTATACCCCCGGCCCTCCTGTGGGGTGGAGGCACAGCGAGGGCGGGGAGGAGGCCGTGGGGACCCGCTGGGCTTTGCAGACTCCCTCCTTTTTTTTTTTTTTTTTTTTTAACTCTGGCAGGGAAGGACCCCAAGACTTAATGAGGCGTCCCGGCAAACAAGCCCTGCTTGTGTTCCGTGTGGAATTACAGCCCTTCCCGACCTCCAGACAGTCGGTTTGAACGTGGCCTGGCTTGTGTGTGCATAACAATGCCTTATTTATGTAACTAGAACAGTCCCCTGCTCGCTATAATTAACTTGCTAATTAAGCTCTTTTAACTCCGGTTCTCCCCCCCCTTCATTTTTTTCTCCCCCCACAATGTCAGATGGTTTCGTTAATGGAGCCTCATTAGAAGAAAATTAACTAATGAGCAACTAAAACAACGAAGGCATTTGGTACATGGCAAAGTGGTTTTTAATTATGTGGGTCCTGGCTCTGTCCCCCAGGGCTGCAAGTGCACAGTTTGTCCTTGGAAGGGTCCATGCTCCGACACCCATCCCGCTGTTCCTGTGCCAGACCTTTCCTCTTGGGGTCATGGAATGGTTTGGGTTGGAAGGGACCTCAAAGCCCATCCAGTGCCACCCCTGCCGTGGGCAGGGACACCTTCCACTATCCCAGGTTGCTCCAACCTGGCCTTGGACACTTCCAGGGATGCAGGGGCAGCTTCTCTGGGCAACCTGGGCCAGGGCCTCCCCACCCTCATCTTTCCCATTATTTTTGTTCCTCATATCTGGTCTCTTCCCACCTTGCAGGTTCCTCCTGCAGCAGGAAAAAGGCTGTGGATGGAGCAGACCCGATGCAGGACAACTCCTTCAGTTGAGTGGCTGGGGTTGTTACCCAAAGATTTCTGTCCCTGACGAGTTACCGAGGACAACCCCCAGAAGGAACCTCAACATCCTGCCCAGAGAAGCTGTGGCTGCCCCTGGATCCCTGGAAGTGTCCAAGGCCAGGCTGGAGCAACCTGGGCTCAGTGGAAGGTGTCCCTGCCCATGGCAGGAGTGGCACTGGATGGGCTTTGAGGTCCCTTCCAGCCCAAACCATTCCAGGATTCCACGATCTGCTTCCGAAGGAGAGGGAGCTGGGAAGCGCTGGGGCATCACGGACCGACCTCAAACCACTTCTAACTGGATGTGACACCAAAGCTGCCCCCCAGCTCCATTGATGGTCCCACACACCTGATTTACAGCTCATTTACCACTGGTCTGACCTAACCTTGCTCCTCAACAATTGCTACAGCTGTCCAGAGGATGGGACACACTTGCCAGGGAAAACTGATTCCAGGGAAAACTGCTCTATGAAAGCAGCATCTCCTCGGGGGGTGGGGGGGGAGGAACCCCAGAATACTTGAAAAATGGAAATATGGAACGTTTCCAATGTGGAAAGGTCAGGGAATCTGAATCTGGGATCAGCACCATCTGCTTCAACTGACCCTAAGGCTGAAGTTGTGCTTTCAGGGCAAATTTTTAATTTTGACCATTTTTGGTGAACCTTTTCCTGTGAAATCCCAAGGGAGACACTTCAGTAAATTGGTGAAAAGCCCTTAAAAGGGGTACAAAGTCCATCTTGATGGTGCCACCCAAAGCCCAACTACTTTCCCAGTAGGTTGTCACATCAAAACACTGAAATCAAAAGGCTTTTCCTGGAATAAAAAAAGCGCGCTTTTTACATTTAAGATCGAGACGCCGAAATTAAGAACCTCTATTCTCTAAAAATAAAAAGTTCCTTCCTTCACCCCCTCTCCCCAGCTCAGGAATCTTCTGCAATTCCTGTGTCAGTCTGGGTGGACCAAACAAAACCAGGGAGAACCAGTGTTCAATCCCAATAAATGGGTTTTGTGGTCATAGCACCTTAAATTGACTCTTAGCCACGGATATTTGGGTTTTTAAGGAAACAAGGGAGAAAACGAGAGTTTTCTGTGGGATTAAGGGGCACAAGCTCTCCAGCTTCCAAATCCACAGGAAATAAACTTGGGAAATAAAGAGCAAGTTAGGGAGTGAGTTAAAATCCACCTGCTCATGGATGAGACAGCAGGAGGAGGAGGTGATCTCCAAGAACTGCACCTTCCTTCTGACAGAGCAGCCTGAGAATGGGCAGGTTAAAGGGGGTTTCACCTGCAGGGCTTGGGGCGGAAAGGACAGGAACGAGGAGTCACCCACCTGATCCAAAGGGATTTCCAGGAGTGCTGGGAGTCAAATCACTGATTCCTGGAGGCATCACATCAGTGCTGGGTCATGGAATGGTTTGGAAGGAACCTTAAAGACCATCCAATTCCACCCCCTGCCATGGCAGGGACACCTTCCACTGTCCCAGGCTGCTCCAACCCCATCCAACACTTGGACACTTCCAGGAATGGCACATCTGACCATTCCCTGACAGAGTCACTTCCATGGGAACAAACAGCAGCACCTAAATCCAAGGCATGGCAAGAGCATGGGGCCAGCCCCACTGCTGGAAGCAGGGAGGAGACATCCTTAAAGAAAGAAAATAATGAACACCTGAAGCAGGAAATTCCAGTGGGGACAAAGGAAGGAGAAGGAAGAGAGCAAACTCCTCATCCAGCAGTGGAGCAGATCCCTCAGTCCACCCCAGCTCTGTGGGGCACAGCCCCCACAACAAAGCAAAGAAAAAAAAAAACTATTCCCACACTTCCTCTGCTTACAATGATGGCTCAGGTGTATTTCATACTGGAAAATGTGGGATCTCAGCAGCTGGAGATGGGAAACACCTGCTGAGTCATCACCAGCCAGGGCAGCACCTGCAGCACTCACCGATCCACCCTCGGCCAGCAGCCCATGGGATCTCACAGCTCCTTCCCACCACACTACCCAGCAGCACAACCTTCCCTAAAACACCCGGGTTTTTTGGGAAAAAGCCAAAGGTCAGAGGAAAAGCCTCTGCTGTGCATTGTCTGAGGATTATCAGGCCGTGCAATCAGAGATCACGAAACCACCCCCAGTGACACAACCTGAAACCTCTGAAACCTTCACTGACACAGAGCCAAAAGGTGCCTCTGCCCCACGTGCTGCAGAATTCCCAAAAGCTCTGAAAACTCGCAATTTCCCCTTCCTTTGAGCCCATCCTCAAGCGGGACGAGGAGTTCAGGGCCCACAGGAGCACTCCCAGGAGTCCTTCCCTGGCTGCTGCGGGCTCAGAGGAGGGTCAGGTCGGATACCAGGGAAAACTCCTCCCTGGAACTTTGTCCAGCCCTGGCAAAGGGCAGGGGTGGAGTCCCCATTCCTGGAGGGATTTCCAAGCCCTGTGGATGTGGCCCTTGGGGACACGGGGCAGTGCTGGGGAAGGGCTGGACATTTCCCACCCACACGACCCTGTGATTCCATGATTTCATCCCAGCTCGGATCCGGCGCTGCAGACCCCAAACTGACTCCCTGCAGACCCCAGATCTCCCGGCCATCAGAGCTCCAGAAGATGGGAAATCTCCCATTTTAACCCTCTTTTCCAAGGAGCCAGGCAAAGGCATCACCACCATTCCCTAACCATGCATTTTCCAGCGGTTAATTCCAGGGGGGGAACCCAGGCAAGCCGAGGACCTCGGCAGGAACACCGAGACCTGAAAGACTCGTCGACATAATGACCTCAAAGATAATGAGCATTTTAAGGCTGGGGTTAATTATTTCTTGCAGTGTGGCCGCTCCACTCCCACACCGGCCTGAGTAACCTCATCAAATGCAAATCAGGCAAGTTAAAATCCTGATTAAAAACGTGGCTGCAGGACATGACCCTGGGCCCTCTGGAGATGGATCTGATGCCACAGCAGCTTTAACCATCCATAAAATCATAAAACCACGCTGGAAAAGGAAATTACTGAGGCCATAAGAAAAAAAAAAAAATCTGCTTAAATAAAGGTTTTGTCATTTCATTTTGATCCCAGAGGCACTAAATTCATAATGGAGAAAATCAGAGAGGGGGATGGATCTGCAGGGAGAGGTTTGTTGCTTGTTTTCAAGGAGAACTCCACGGTTTTACAGTTAAAAATCCACATTTGAAACAGTAAGTGAATTGCAAAAGTTTGTCACTGATAACTCTTAAAATGCCAAATTGATTTCCTATATAAATATGATAAATTAGACCATTCAAATATATAGAATCTGGGGGAAGGCTGAAAGAATCCTTCTCTATTAAAAATGAGTGAGGAGCAGGACAATAAACTGGAATTTTACAACAATAAAATCCACAAATCTTACAGAAAAGGTTAGTGGGATACAAAAAGTTGGATATTAAAGGGGAATAATGACATTTGAAGCCAATGCACAGACGTTACCTGTGGATAACCATCAAATCCCTTTGTAGCAGCACCAGAATTCCCACTTTTTATTATAATAATCCAAGTATTTTTAGAGGAACTACCAGGAGGGACAACTCCCAGAGCAGAAGCCGGAGATGTGAGCGGGAATCTGGGAAGGGATAAGGAATATTGATCTGGAATTTCACTCCTTCTGGAGCATCGGGAGCATTTCCAGACCCCGCGACCCCGACCAACCCCCAGGGGACACAAAACCCGCTGTCCCCAAAGCACTGCCGGGATTTTGGAGCAATGTCATTACATCTCCAGCTGCTTTGGGAATTCTTCCCACCAGAGGAGCAGAGAAAAAATGTATTTTAGTGCCCGCTGCTGTCGATTCCAAACCCTTGACCCCCCAGAACGGGTGGCACACGATGCCCCGAGGGGCAGCTTAAAGTTTTACAGGTGTTGGTGAGGCAGCAGAATCTGAGCTGATAATAAAAACTGAAGTGGCTGCTCACGGAATTCCAAGTCTCCCGGGACACAGTGACTGGTTTCTCCCACTCCCCTTCCCCCCTGTCCCCAAAAATTATTACAAAAATTAACGGTTCATAGAGCACATCTGCAAGGTGGGGTAACCTGGGGGGCCAGCCCCACCTCACTTGGCCATTCAATGACACTCGTTAATCTCCGACTTCAAGGACCCTCATTCCAGCTAAACCCCACTGTATTCCCACACGGAGCCCCAGAGCTCCCTCCGGGAGCGGGGCAGCCTCAGTGGCTGGGTGCCGGTGGAGCGGCAAGGTCGGTCACTCACCATCCACTCGGGCAGGTGGAAAGCGGAGGCGCCGGCGCTGCCGTCCCACATCTCCCGGGGTGAATCCCTTTAGGATCCCATTCAGGGACGCCGTGGGGTGCAGAGGGATGCACCAGCCGAGCCCCCCCGAGCTGCTCAGCGGGGCTTCAGGCACAGATGTTCTCCCAGCCGAGGTCTCCGTGACGATCCAGCCTCGTTAGCTGAGCCTTCAAGGGCAGCTCGGCCCCTCATTCCCATCCCAATCCCACTCCGGGGAAGCGCTCAGATCCAGCCCATTTTTACAGCCGGGATCCCCCACCGAGCTCAGCTCCGCTCCACGCCTGAGTGGAGAGCAGGCTCTCCGTGGGGTGGAGATGTCCACCCATCGCCCGCCGACGGCACCGAGGTGCCGATATCCCGCTGGATCCCAGAGATATCCCTGGATTTAGAGGACTCCCACAGCGAGGGTTACACCTGGCGCATCACCAGTCCTGCGGCCTCAACCCGAACCGCACACCGACACCTCGGGAGCTGAAGGACGCTCAGCTCCAAGAGATGCTGAACTTCCCAGTCCCGCGGCCGAGCGCGGAGCGGGATGAAGGTCTGAAAGCGCTCGGCATTCAGCCCATTCCCGGGGAAAAGCCGGGAGGAAAAGCCGGGGCTGCAGCTCCCTCTGCTGCGCACACCGGGAAGGGGAAGAGCACGGGAGGGAAGATTTTGGAGACGGAGCGACTGCCGAGGGAGCTCCTGCTCCGGCAAGGGCAGCATTCCACACCCGGCAGATCCACGGCATCCCGGACCGGGACACGGACAAAATCCCGCTCTTTGCAGCGCTGAACACCCGAGCTGAGGTTTCAACTTCACTGCAACTCTCAAAATTCCACCCTCAGGGATTAACGAGCAGCTCTCTGAAATTCCCACTTGGGATTCTCACCAGCATTCCCACCCACAGAGCGAGCAGGGTGAAGGCCAGGCAGGGGCTGGCAGCATTCCCTTGTGTTCCCCCTTGGAAATCCCCCTGCTCCGTGGGGAGGTCTGGCACCCTGTTATATTTGGGGGGGGGGATATTTTACTGCTGTTGGCAAGTTCACCCTTCCAGATTGAAAGGAGCTTCTGGTCAGTGCTGCCTTCAGACCATCCCATTCCCACTTCCAGACCACCCCATTCCTACCTCCAGACCACCCCATTCCCACCTCCAGACCACCCCACTCCCAGCTCCCAGCAATACTGAGCTCAGTTTGTGCCAGGAGAAAACACCTGTGTGGGTTTTGCACAGAACACACATTCCCACAGAACACACATTCCCACAGAACATGCATTCCCACAGAACACGCATTCCCACAGAGCCAGCAAAGGGTTTTCCAGAGCGCTCACATCCCTGTCCTGCCGCAGAACATGGAACCATGGAATCAGTACGGCTGGAAAATCCCTGATGTGGGTCCTTCCCACGGGCTGCAGTTCCTCAGGAACTGCTCCAGCGTGGGTCCCTTTTTTCCATGGGATCACTCCTTCAGGAAGTGAAGTTCACTCTTCAGCTCAGAATGAGAAAATAAGGAAATAATGAAGAAATAAGGACTTTTCTCCTTCCTTAACATGAGCCCATCATGCCAGAGGTGAAGACACAGTGAAAACACGGAGAGACAAAACCTTCCTGATGCTCCCCAATGTTCAGTTGCCTGTGGATGGTGGTTTCCAACATCCTTGAATCAAATAATGCTTATTATTAAAAAACAGATGTGCTTCAGAGCAAAGAACGGTTCAAACCTCAGTAAATATAAAGTTTTCAGTAACCAAAGGCTGAGCAGGACTAAAGCCCTGACTGGAGACCAAAAATTAGCAATTACTGTTGGAATACTCAAAAAAACCACAGATTGCCCTTCCTGCTGAAAAGTTGGGCACGATCCCCTGACAGAAGGACGGGAACGAGCCGGCCCTCAGAGCTGGAATGTTGGAAGAACAGAGAAATGAGACGAATTCGAGCTGAGAGGCTGCAAGAGCCCCGCGCGGGCACGAGGGGGAGCGAGAGCCTGCGGGAAAATCCAGCGTTTGAACCCTGATCGATTGGAGAAATCCTCCAGTCCCGGGGGCACTTCTGGGCTCAGCCAGGAGAGCCATGGAGGGGCTGGAGCGTGTGCAGGGCAGGGAAGGGAGCTGGGAAGGGTGTGGAGAACTCCTGAGGGAGCTGGGGGGGCTCATCCTGGAGAAAAGGAGGCTCAGGGGGGACCTTCTGGCTCTGCAAGTCCCTGCCAGGAGGGGGGAGCGGGGGGAGTTCGGGCTCTGCTCCCAGGGAACAGGGACAGGACAAGGGGAAACGGCCTCAAGCTGTGCCAGGGGAGGCTCAGGTTGGCCATGAGGAGGAATTTCTCCATGGAAAGGGTTGTCCCCATCCCTGGAGGGGTGTCAAAGCCCTGTGGATGTGGCACCCAGGTGGTCTCCCAGGGCTCTTCCAACCCAGTGATCCCCCCAGCTGGACCTAAACCCCACCAACTCCTTGTTCTGAAATGCTTCCCAAATTCACACTCTCCTAAATCTCAGTTGCCCCCTTTGCCCCATCAGGACACATCCCAACCAAGCAGAAGATTCCAGCACAGCATCACCTGGAGAACCTCGAGGCTGCCTCTGTCCTCACACTGCTGCTTTTCCAAGCCTTCCCAAGTGAGTTGGGCAGCACAAACCAGCCCTGTCAGGCTGTGCCACTTCCCTGCTCCCTCGTTTTCCTGGTGGATATGATATTTCTGCAATATGGAGCCACACAATCCTCTTCCCCTCTGCGGGAAATGGAAAAAAAAAATAAGCAAAACTGAATTTTGAAGGCACTTTCCTTTAGGCTTCTCTGTCCCACCTATAAAATCTCCTCCTGTCAGCTCATCATCCTGCTCAGCTCCTACAGACACTTCCTGAGGGCTCATTTACTGCTGAGTGATTCCCCTTGGCCTCCCAGGCAGCCCAGCCTCGGGGATTGATTTGTTGCTGATGATCTGAAGCAGCTCAGCTGAGGGGAAGGGGGTGCAGGAGGTGCAGGCTGGGCTTCACAGCGAGGCCCAGCCTCACAGGCAGCTCCTGCTGTCACGTTTTGGCTTTAGCTGTGTCAGGATCGGGTGTAAATTTAAACACAATGGTCGAGGTGTCGTGCTGATGTCCAGAAAGGGTGACGTTTGTTTGCACGTGGGTTTCGTGACACACAAATTAACTGAACAGCTACAAATCTGTGAATCAACCTGTTAATGCCACCTCCCTTCCCACAGAGCTGTGCCTAAAGCTGCTCCCAAAGGTCTGAGCAAGGGCAGAGCCATGAGCACCTTGCAGAGGATGAGCTCTGTGTCCCCAGTGCCCCAGAGCAGGTACTGATCCCTGGGATCCCATGAATCGCTGGAATGAGAACTGCCAGCTCGGGAAGGAGCTCCAGCTCAATCCACGAGGGTCCACCCAAGCAGGGGCATGAGTTTAGCCAAGATTAAAAGTGGTTTCAGAGCACTTGGAAGGGGAAGAATCTCCAGCTGCTCGGCATTACAAGCCAGGTGAGCGCATTGGAGGTGCTGGGGCTGAATAACAGACAGTGAATTCACTCCCCTGTTTTCTAGTCCTTTCCAAATGAGGGGTGTCCAGAAGCATCACTGGCACTGCTGGAACACAGGTCAGCTTTGGAACCAGGCTGGTTACGGATCCTGCCTCTGCATTTCAGCATCAGAGCAAATTTCTTCTCCCAGACATTGATTTTCCCAGGCCTTCAAATCCCCCAGGGATGTGCAAACATCTCCATCCAAACCCATGACCCGGTTCAAGCCAGCTGGGGGTACCCAGGAGAAGACAAGGCAGCACCACAGGAGCTCCTGCCATTCCTCAGTGACAGCATCACCCCTGCTGTAAAAAATCCCCAAATATCATCACTCTGGTAGTATGAGTAGAAAAGAAGCTGCTTGGAGCAGGGAGGGACAAGCACCTGTCCCAGAGGAACAGCCTGGAATGCCTCTCCATCCTCTGGGAGCAAGGAGCCACCAGCAGCGTGGTGACACCGCCAGCTGGAATGGAATGTGTCCCCTTTCCGGAGCACGGGAAAATTAATGGATGTTCCAGAACGGCTGAAATGAAGGACTTCTCATTCACAGAATTAAAATGTGCTCCCTGAAGCATAAAAATATCCTCCCTGGGTGAGCTGGGGGGATTCCCAAGGAGGAAGAGGCACCTTCTGAGCACACCTTTTCCTGCAGCAAACACTCCCCAGCCCCATGAGCTGGGGGAGGGGGTGAGGTCAATGCAAGGCCCAGGGGTCAGGAAGCACCAGAAAGGGCAAAATGTTTCATTTCCACAAGGAAATGATGGGGTTTTTTTGGCACTGAGGAGTTGTCCATATGCCTGCCTTCCCCCCAGAAATGGACACACATTGGACATCTACTGTTCTTTCATGGAAACAAGAACACAAGTTCTGATCTGCACGAGGAAGCCAGGCTTGGGTATTCTCCTCTCCCAGCACCTCTGCAGCAATTTATTGCTGGGAATTCAGAGGCTTCTGCAGCTGAACAGCTGCTGGATACCAGGAATGTGGGAATGTATCAAATCCAAGGGAAGCGTCCAAGGCCAGGCTGGATCAACCTGGGCCAGTGGAAGGTGTCCCTGCCCATGACAGGGGTGGCACTAGATGGGCTTTAAGGTCCCTTCCCACCCAAACCATTCCATGACTCCACAATTCTAAGCTCCCAGGGAACACCTCAAAAGGTGAGTCCTGGGAAAAGGCCACAGTTGATGAGAAAACCACGCCCTGATCATGGGTGTTTGGGATGGAAAAGCTTCCCAGCTCCTGTGCTCCGAGCTACCAGCTCAGGAGCCTTCTCCATTCCCATCTCCCTGTGCCAGTGCCCCATGGAAAAGGAAGCCTCTGCTGGAGTAACTCAGTGATGTCACCTGGTGGGACTGTCCAGGCTGATGCTCCTTCCCTCCCTCCAGCTTCCAGCATTCCTGAGCAATCCCACCTCCCCTGGGTGGCACCGGGCCGGGAATGCTGCTCCCAGCTGTCACCCCGGGAGGGAAAATGAAGTTAATGAGCAAAGCTTTAATCAGTGGACCTTGGTGTAATGAGAAATCCCCTGGAACACAGAATGACAGCCCAGCACTCCCTGACTTGCCTTTTTCCCATGGGAAGAAAGTTATAGTGTGTCAAATGGGAAAGAAAAAGCCTTCAAGTCCAAGATTAAAGACTGATGGACACAAATCCAGCTTTTCCCTGAGCACTGGTTTGTCCCCCATGTCCCTCCTGGGTAGAAAGGAGCAGGAGATCCAAGGGCAGGATCAGAGCAGCTGGAATGTTCCCTCAGTACATTGCTAATTAATTTACACAAAGCCAGGCCTAGGTAAGTGAGCAAAGGTTTCGTTCCAGTGCGTGGCAGAGAAAAACCAACACTGAGATGAAACCCACCCAAACCCCCTGGGTTTATCCTCATCCCCTGCAGGTTGGGACCTTCTCGGAGCTCTTTTCCCAGGGAAATCCTCACAGGTTTGATTCCAGTGCTCCACTGATTCCATGTGCAGCTCCCAGCCCAGCCCCAGAGTCTTCACTGAC